CAGTGAGATATCAGGTACTCACAGCAGGATGTATGAAGAGGGTTGTCTTCTGGGTTAGTTCACTGACATTTCGGAGGTGCTTTCTGCCTCCAGCATTATCACCCAAATGACAGACGCAGCAAGAATCCCTGAAATGTCAGTAAACGTCCAACAGACTACATGGCAGACAATCCAAAAGACAACCACTTTCAAAAGGACAACAGCGCAAAACAGAAGTTTGTTTTTCAATATGATTAGTACACAATATTCATGAACTTGGAGATCATAACTTTACTAGCTTGTAATATTTTAGTCCTGGAATCCATTATAAGACTCAAATGTAAGGATGAGCAAGTATGTTAATGGTTTAGCATTTATCACTTTTAATTTTGTAACACTAACTTTAAGAACCATGTCCTTGATATACCACCTGCTTTTCTGACATAATTAATGTCAAGTGTACCTCCTCATCCACTACAGTAACAAACTACATGGAACCAAAATTATTACATCTTTAAACATTCCTGTACATAAGCTGACAGCATCTACACATTCTAAATGCATTTTACATTGCAGTCTAGTTAATTTTAAAACAAAATCTAAAATTGAGTTCATGTCATACCATGTCTGAACATACAAACTCTTAGGGAGAGGGAGAAAAAAAACAGCTACATCCTATGTAAATGTAAGCACATAAAATGAAAATAGATGTAATAAAATCTTGTATATGCAAAATTCCCAAAATAAAAGCAGATAGCATAAAAAATTTGTACAGAGGAAGTCAGTATATAAATTAGACCAGATGCATGTGGAGTAGTGGAGAGTAAAGTTTTAATGATGGGGGAAGAGATCTAGCCAGGAAATAAAATAGTTATAAATAACTGATGTTGCAAGGATACAGATGTACCCAAATACTAAACATGATAAACACAAAAGGAGACTGGTTTCCATAACAGTGATTTATTATTTATAACTGTTTTATTATGGGAAATAAATAATTCTATAACTCACTGTAACCTCCTAGCTTTGATTTAAATTTTGACAAAATATATGTTTAAAATGTATATTTTGTGATGTTGCATTATCTTATCTGGTAGAAGTATGGTGGTAAAGATTTACAGATGCTTACTACCTTCATCATTAACATGAAGCATTTAGAAATTTGTATCTTGACCAGGAAGTAACAAATAAAACAATACACTGACCGGTAAAAAAAAATTCAGGATGCATGTTTTTGAGAAGGTGGTGTTTGTTGTAAAGGTTTCTGCAAGTTCTTCCAAACAAATAAAAACTAAGAGGCAATTAATCTGATGTCACCCAAATACTGCTGTGCCTAGGGTTGCATTTTAAATGGAACATCCTGCACTAGTTCAAATATTCTGTCTGGGAGCAGTGAATGTCAATGCCTGCATAACCCACGACCTGCTCTGACACACAAACTGCTCTCGTAATATAAAGCGAAGGGTATTTTTGACATCTTCACTTAGAGCTTCAGCGTTTGCTGAAAAATATTTTTCTTCTAAAATAAACACCATAAATCTGTGAAGACAGGTGCATCTGAATCTACTTTTGTGCATAAATGATATAACATACATTCATATATCACTTCTATATATCATCACAAGAAAGGTATGAACTTGAGTTAAAAAATTAACTTCATTGTTTGTTGTATTTATTTCATAATATAATTTGAACAAAATGTTACACTCATAACAACTTTAAACACTTCCTCTACTTTCAAAGTGTAAAACATCAGTTGTTAAAAACTGAAAGTTCCTCGGCAGGACAACAGAAGTACTGTGCCTACCTAAATGTTTTGTGATGACTCTGATGAAACAATCTCTATATTGAAACTTACACTGGGATCTAGAGAACTCTAAAATGTGTGTCGCTGGGTCAAGTTCCTTGAAATTAAAGGTTTGCTGGTAGGAACATTAAGCTATTATGAACTGTTAGGAATTCTAAATGTGTCAGTTACAGTGTGTTTTAAAGTAGAGATTGTTAATACTGACTGCACATTGTAACATAAGAGAACAATACAGTAACTTTGTAAAATATTCTTAAAATTAATTTACCAAAATAAATATTTGTTCTTGAAGAAATTATTTTAAAACACATACCCCTACAGAGTCAATTAATAGACTCATTATGTTTCCTTTCATTGACAGCACTTTCAATCCAAAGATAGGGTCTTCCTTTTCTTCTTTGTCTAGCCATGCATTCACAAAACATTTCCCAAACTACTTCTGTCAAAGACTCAGAAAAATAAAAACTTAAGAAAGACATATTTGCTACTATTTCCAGTTAACTAAATAATAAATAATACTGAGGCTGTTTGTGAATAAATGGACTAAAGAGGGAGGAAGTTAACAGGAGTCTGAGAAAAACTGCAGAAAGAATATCTTCATACTTTGTGCTCTTCACCTAATATTATTAGGGTGATTAAATCAAAGTGTAAGAGATGGACAGGACAGAAGGCATACATGGGAGAGATTAGAAATGCATACATTTCAGTTAGAAAACTAATGGCAAGAGGCCACTTGGAAGACCTAGACACAGAAAGCAGAGTACTATTAAAATGTTTCCTAGAGAAACAGGGTGTGCCGGTGTGGGGTCGATTCACCTGACACAACACAGAGACCAGTGGCAAGCGCTTGTAAACACAGTACTGAATTTTCAGGTTCCACAAAAGTTGGGGGGATTTCTTGACTAGCTGAATGGCTATCAACTTTTCAAGGACTCTGGTCCATGGCGTTACTTTGTTATAAACAGCAGACTTGAAATTGAAAGATATGAAGAATCAGTGTTTTAGCAAGATAAAATGGTGAGAGGGATTTAGGAGTCTGATAATGCAACAGCACTTCTACCTTTCAGGTTTTTGCCAACTTCGTCCATCTTGATGAAGGAAACACTTTTATAAATGTTGAAAAATGACACATACAGCATTTATGTTTCAAACATATCTTATGTTGGAATAAGATGGAGGTAAGCAGTGGATGATTCAGTAACAGCCAGTGGAATGGGAAATGAGGAGAGGTAAGAGAGGCAGAAGATAAAAACCACATTCCCACCAAAACTCTTGCCTTCTGTATCAGACTTCAGTACGGCTTGAACTATCCCTCAGTAGTACAAAAGGTGTTGTGCAGTTAGTACCTTGTCAAGGGTGCCAGCATGAAAATGGCACTCTGGTGTTAATAGGATCACTTCATTTCTATGCAGAGAGCATATACTTTCATATATTATATACAAAAATGGGTGATGTTCCCAAGGATATGGTAAGAAGCACTTCACTTCCATTGTCTGGTAATTGGGAGAAAAGCTTTGATCTTGGCAGTATGAATAAACGTTGTGGGGAGGGGGAACACATAGACCTTGTAAAAAATATAAGGCTTTAACTCTGCAAACTGTAACATTTTACTAAATACATTTCAACTGATGAATTTCTGGTCACGGATTTTCTGCCATCAGACTCCCACATGGGTCCACACTGTCAAGGTCAAAACTTTTCTTCTAGTTGAGTATCTTAGTCCATTCAAATGTTTTATATTTACCTTCTTCAAGGTCTATGCAAATTATAATTTTGTTTTTATGGTACTGGTTTCTTTGTCTAAGATTTTGTATAAATTAAAGAATGTGTTCATATCACTGGTATTTATGTTGAGTAATTGATGAAAAGAAAGGCAGAATAAAATTTGTGATATGAAGCTGCTGAAAACAGAAGATGACTAAATCAAATGAAATCATTTTGTATTGTAACTGAAAAAACTAACATTTGATGTCCAAATAACTTCATTCTTTAAATGTTACAGATGAAGAAGAAACGTGAACTGACAAAGTCTGATGTACCTGGGGCCAAAAAAGCTCTAGCAGCTGATCCCAACTCACTAGATGCAAAGGAAAAAGTTTGTGGGCACACACTTACCACCACACCAGAAATTGCATGTGGCCCAAGTCCTGTTGCAAAAGCAGATGAGTCTGTGGGAGACACACCAAAAGTGAAAGAGAAATCAAGATCAATTCTCAAACATAATGCAAGTGCTGATGCAGAAATAGAACCTACACAGACACTTTTGCTGAAACCTGTAGCTACTGCTGAAGTCAGTGAAAATGAAACTCCAAAACCAAAGCATACTCTCAAACGTGTTTCAACTACTGAAGAAGTTAAATGTCTTCCTACACAATCCACAGTTGCTACCACAGAGGTTACTGAACAAGAACTCCAGGTGAAACCAGTTGCGTTTGTGGATAAAAATGTTACACCTATGTCTTGTAAAAGTAGAAATGTGGCACCTAAAGCTGCTACTAAGAGGGACATGGAACTGCTTTATGACCTGGACAATGAGAAGTTGGCAGAACTTAAAGAGGTATGTGCAAATTATATCTTGCCACATCCCATCTAAAAGCCTAAAGATTAAAATAATAAAATTATAAGTAATCCGTTGTTTTATAGATGTAAATCTTGGTCTCATTCTGAAATTACAGGATAGGTTAAAGGCATTTGAAAAGAAAATACATAAAAATATATTATAATAAGGAAGATGTAGTAACAGAGAAATGTAAAATATTACATACAAATCCTCATCACCTGTATTCTTTACTAGAATGTTTAAATGAGTGATAATGAGATGGTTGAAAAATACAGCATGCATAACAGAAAAACAATTATTTTAGTCAGAAAATCTTTTGGAGAGATACCTATGTTTGCACTTACAAGATAACAGGTTCCACAAGAGCCACTGGACCCTATCCAAAGCTAGTAGAATCCAGTCCACATCATCACACCCTGATTCATTAAGATCTGCTTTTAAAATTATCCTCCCATGTGGTTAGAAAAAAACAGGAATAATTTTACCCTGTAGTAAAATTCTTGTTACAGGCTTTTCACTTATTTGACCTGAATAATGATGGCTTTATTGATAAAGAAGACTTGAAAAACACATACATCACTCTCGGAAGAACAGATATATGTGATGAAGAGATCCAGTGCATGCTATCTGAGGTACAGTAAGAATGTGCAAGCAAGCATAATTTATGGGAACAGTATGGTCAACTTTCACGATTTCTGTCCAACTGTAAAAAAACTTCACATATCAATCCACATGCTAAATGCAGTCAGTTAAAACTCCAATAATCAGCTTACTAGCAATGAGTTCTGTTCTGTTACATGTAATAAAATATGAATGGCTCCCTGTCATGCAGCTGTTATAGTATGTGTAGGAACAAAAACTAGGGCAATTCTCTCAGACTTGAGAACACAGCTGAGCCAATGGAGATGCCCTTATCTGAGTGAGTCATATAATTTCTATTTTATATAATTCCATAGGACCAATAATGGCTGCTAGTTTTTAAGTTTACATTTAAATACACTGAAATAAATGTATTAAGACAGTTCACTTATATTTGTAACACTTATGGAACAAGAAAACAGCATTATTTTCCTGTTAATTTGAGAAGTGTAACCATGCGTGTACAAAGATAAGCACCCTCTTCAAAATGAAGGGTCAAGCATTCATTACTGTTTTGTAAACTGACACATTTTATCAAATGATGCAAAAGTCTAAACTCTGGAGATTTGGAAACTTAGATAAGCTCACAAACTTCAAGAGGATATATACAAGGCTAATTAAGTATTAAATTCTTCAATTTCAGGCCACAAACCCCTTGGATTTTGATGCATTTGTGATTCTTCTTGGATACAAATCAATAGAATTGGACCCAGAAGAAGTTCTTCTGAAAGCTTTGTCACAATGGGACTATGACAACTCTGGTTTAATCTCAGAAGAAAGGTAAAACTACTTATCCTTTTCACTGTATCTGAACTTCCAAACCTGAAAATTTTGATGTATAAATTAATTATCATATATGACTTAAAATGTTGATGTAAAATGTAGCATAAATTTCGAATTTAGCTGAAAAGCTGAAGCTGATATGACGTGTCCTTCCTAATCACAGCCCTGACAAGTGCCAAAAGAAAACCTGGAAGAACATAAAAAAATTTCTAGTTCCATCATTCCAAGCTAATATGCTGAAAGTTTGTGATCATGTGTCACAGCATTAAGTTACAAACAGTAATAATTTAAAAAAGATATATTGTATTTCATACTAACACTGACTGAAAAAAACTGGTAAAAGTAAGAGAAGACAAAGCCTGCTATTAATGTCATGATTATAATATTGTTCTCTCTATATTATTTGGTCACATGACCTCATTCTTGACCTTTCAGGAGCTTTCCATCAATTTATTTTGAAATCTGTATCTGCCTTTGGTATTGTATCTCAATGCACATTACAGGACCACAAGCCTTTTAATTTTGTATACACTTTCTGCAAATATCCTGTTCTAATCCTCTCTCTCACTGCCTCCTCCTCGCTCTACGAGAGATTTCAGGTTCACATGGCAGTGAATATGAAGACGGCCATCTTCTGAGTTGTAGCACTGTGTAGTCTGATAGAAGTTACTGATATTTCAGAGGTGCTTCCTGCCTCCGTCATCAGGGATTGCAATATACAGTGCAATATTTCACCTTCCTCCTCATTCTTTCTCCCCTAGTCATTCCAGTCATGCTTCTTACCAATCCACCAGTCTACTTGAATCCCTCTCAGCATAGTTTCTTTTTATATATATAAAGGAGAAGAAGAAGAAGAAGAGGCTCTCCCTTCTTTGATGTTTCATAAAATCTCATAATTAATTCACTGTAAAAAACCTAATTAATTTTATTACCACGTCTTAGAAAATGTTTTTACAAGTTTAACATATGAATTACATTTCCCAGAATCAAGCACGATCTAATGATGTGGGGTGACAGATTTTCATCAGATGAGGTATGTAAATGTATATTGTATTATAGTGATAAACTACTGCACACAGTTTGTGCAAAAACTACCTAGTACAAAAAATTTATCTTGCAGGTTGAAATGGCACTGGAAGACGCACCTGTATTTTATCGGCAAGATACCAGAACCTCAATGATTGACTATGTGAAATTCTGCAAGATACTTTGTGGCCTCCGTAAAATGACCAAGATTCCTTAACCAGGGGATTATGAGTCTTAAAAATAACTGACAGTTAATATCATGAGGCTTATTTGTCACAACTATTGGCAATGTGTTAATTCTAATGTCACTGTCACTTTAAAGCAAGTATTATGATTAAAAGTTATCTTCTGAAGTCTCTTGTTACAATTCAGTTTAAAAAAACCTTATTGTCTTTTTCAGGTTACTGATATAACACAATTGTAAAGTACAGAATCTGAAGATTCATCACCACATACACAAAACTTTTCAAAAGACCATATCCCAAGATAATCCAGTTCAGTCTATTTCACAACAATTTGTTTGCTTAACTATTTTGGTTTGCCTTATATGGCAGCAGTCCTCAACTACTGGCCCCGTTTGTTCAATAGATAAAAATTATACTGGACAAACTGCTGCCGACTAAAAAAAATTTGTGTATTATAATTTTTCCTGAATTAAATTCTTTTCCAGTATTAACAGGTCACCAAAGTTGACATATTTTGACAATGCAGGCTAAATCTAGAATGCAAAGTAAGAGGAACATGAGAACAGGTATCACACTAATAACTAAAATATGTAGTAGAATTTTTAAATAAATTCTAATACTATTACCTCCAGAAATCAGTAAGAACTACTATATAGGAAATGTCTGTCTTATAGGTTGCAGCACCATGTAGTTTGGTAGAAGTTTAAAATATTTCAGATGTACTTGCTGCCTCCATCATCAGGGCGCCCTCAGGGTGACCTGATAATCGAGGAAGCTACTGTGAGAACCTCAAATCTAACTATATATGTTCTGATTCAAGTCAGTATTTTACATAGTTCATTTTGTAGGAAATCTCAATACAACTAAGGACTTTCTATACATTTATTTATTATTTATTCATATATTATTTGTAATATACTTTGCAGTATTGTCCAAATATTCGTATAAATTTAATATGTGTATTTAAAATTTTTACATTTTAGTAACTATGTAAGAAGAAACACGTTCTGTGTGGGGATTACAACAGACAAACATGATACATGTTATGATTAAATTTAATCTTTAGGTTACATACACAGTCAGATAAGCTATGTTACATATTACATATATAGAAGCAGTCAAGGCAACATGTAGACAGACTCCCTTGCTGAACTCATGATAAAGCTAGAGGTTAGTATGAAGAGCTACAACATGTGTGCAGTCATATTAAATGGAAAATTCGTGATAATTTCTAGGTTAGAATCTTATAAGCAGTATCATTATGTAAACAATTATGTCCACTTGAAGAAATTCAAGATAAATATTTTGAAGACCAGTTCATGGGCATATTTAAACAAGATATCCTATTCTATAGTGTTTTGACTGAGAATTAATATATATTTTCTGTCATAAATTTAAAGCCTTGTTACCAGGGCAGAATAGATAGAGTAAACAGTTTGGTGAAACCAGGGTATATTTCTGCCCTTCTTAATAATTTTAAACCAGTACAGTCATGCTACTGGAGTGTGGTGTGGGAGGAAGGAGTCATCAACATCATGTCATAGGAGAAACAAATTTAACATTGGGTGGCACACACTAGTTAACTCAGCATTTCTCTCCAGACAAGGTTATCTTCTCAAGGTCCTGGCTGTGTGCCAAAATGAATAGCATAATCACAGAAGGCACTGACAGATATTATAAACTTGTAAGAGAAGCTCTATAAAACAAGAAGACATGAAAGGAACTCCTAAGAAGGTAAACCATCAGCATATAAACATTTCACACCCATACAGCCAGTAAGTGGAAGCAATGTGAATAAAACTACCTTATAAAAATAATGTCAAATGTTAATTTCTATGTATTATTTTAAAAGTAGAAGACCAGTTATAATTAAACAGAAATATTTGAAACAGTTTCCTCACATTATCAAATTGTTACATTATATTATTCTGTAGGGTTCGGTGCTTAATTCCTTTTCCATAAAAGATTTTTAAAAATTCTTGCAGTTTGGTTGAGAACTACTGTTTTGTTTCAGTACAGAAAATATACACAGTTCGATTGTATTTGAACAGAAGAAAAGACCATGCTTTCACTTGGGTACCTTAATAATTAAAAGAATGTAAATCACTGTTACTGACAATACTGTATATAGAGAAAAGCAGAACACAATGTTATGTACATAAAACTACGAGCAGTTTCATCTACAGGAAAGGGAGTAGAGCATGAAATAATTAGCCTAACTGAGACAGTCTGACACAACACACAAACAAAAACTGTGCAACTGCAAGCAAGGTCTCTTGTCCAAGGCCACCCTAAACTGTTTAATACAGGTACATCTACAGGGCAATAGTATTTAGTTTGTAACTTATACATTTTTAGAGTATGACTGTTGTAAACTTGTTACCTGCAGATGGAAACTGAGCTGCTACCTACTATTGTGGCATTAGTGGTTGGCCTACTCTCCCTTCCAATATGTTTTGGCTACACATTGTTGTGCGAGTTACTTCCACCAGTGGGAATGCTAGGACTGGCTGGAGCTATCTTGGCAGGAGTATTGGCCATCTTTGTGATCTTAACAAAGGGAAAGGTTAAGAATAAAATGTATTATGGCAAGTACTTGGACTACTGTCTACAATTTTGTTTTATGTGCACAATACTGTCAACCACTTTTGTTTAAATAGCATTTAAGTTATCATTTGTTAATAGTTCTACTTTCCGATGCAGGTTTTGCTGTATTCATTTTCACGGGAATAATTGACATACTTTCTGGACTGGAGATGGATGGCATTGTGCATGGGTTTCTGACTCTCTATCTCAAGCATGGAGAACCATATCTTGTGTCAGCATGGGGTGCTGTGGTGGCCTACTGGGACGGAACAGTGTTCCTCACATGTTACATCATTATGGCATACCTTTCGAGTAATGGGTAATTACAAATAAAATTAATGACAAAGTACACATCTATATTCAAGATGTTATTCATTAATTTTCTCCACATCATGAAATGCTGATTTATAAAAAGTTTCATGCATTCTTACACAGTGATCTCTAGTTATATAACATGATAGGAGGCACATGTATTGCTTGCATTTATAAACTAATCATATTTTATGAAAATAAATACATTGGCACATAATAAACTAAAATATTAACCAGGGCATTTGATATTGAAGTTAAATTCAACTATAATAAATTCATCATTCTGGATAACATAACTGAAAATTTAATTGTATTTTAATGTAACCACAAAAACTTCTGCAAAAGGCTTTCAAAATTTCTTATTTCCTAGGATTACAACAGATGCCAACAATGGTGGTCATATCCATTAAAATGTGGTGCTTCAGACCTCAGCTTACACTCATGGATCTGAATCTTGGGCATTAGTGTGATCATCAATAGTGCAACTATGTCAGAACACCATGTGAACAACAGGGGCATATGCAAATGGTCACAACACTGTAAATACATTCAAACAAAGATCAAACCTTCCTATCTCACATTTCACTTGAGTTCTGAAGTCTATTTCAACTTGATTTTTAGGAGAAGCTATCGAACAATAGGCCTACACTGGTCCTCAGCTATTCTTAACAGTATGGTGATACTACTGTTGGGAGCTTGTCTCAGCCAATCAGGGCCTGGCTGGTGCACAATCCTCAACATACCCTATGTGCTGTTCCCTCTAGCAGTGGCAGTGCAATGCCTGGCAGAAACACCGAAACCTCTGCACCAACCACAAACAAATGGTAAACCATCTTGGCTTGACAAAGCCCTGGTTTTCCTACTGATTGAATCATCACTTGCTGCCCTGCTTAAGGGACTGGTGAGTTCCTGTCATGTCTATTGTACTCATTCCTTCATAGCTACGTTTGCCAATACAGCACATCCTTAAGGTCACTTGTGTGAGAAGAGTTTGTAAAGGACCTATTAAATTTTATATAAATTAATATGATGGTTCAAGAACAAATCTTCCTTGTCAGGGAGTGAACACATTTTTGCACTTGGTGATTTAATTCCCTCTTTTTAATAAATAATACATTTCATTTCTTAACCTTCATGACTTCAGATAATTTTCTATGTCACTGCAAATTTACACGTTTCTCAACTAATATATTTTCAAATGTTCTTCACCTTATTTAAAAAAAGAAAAGCTGTCCCGCTACATACCATGTGGGCACTTGGGGGGGAGTACAGGTATGGCTCCTACTCATTCTTGACCTTGACACTACCTTATTTAAACAGTTATAAATTTATCCTTTCAAGATATTAAGAAAAACCTCACAGAGTGACTGTCAAACTCATGATACAGACATACATAACAGTTCAGTGGTACCAGAAGAAAAATTGTGTTTTCAATTTTCCTGGTTTTCTGCTCGGTAAAATCTGTCTCCCCAAATTTAATACCACTCCTTACATAGACTGAATATCCCTTAGACCTTAGAAAGCAGAGCACAGGACAGGTCAACACCTTCAGAAAGGTGTTCACTTGGAAGATCAAGATAATGGGAGTTTAATATTATACTGAATCTCAATAGAATTTGTTGCAAATCCATGAATTTAGCAGTCTGGTGGCATCTGGTATTAGCAGTGCTGAATCTTCAGATTCCACTGTAAGAAAGTTACTAATGAAGTATTTAATTTTTAAAATAAAGTATCATGAATCATGATAAAAATGTGCTGTTTGCAACTCTTTCACTAGTCTCTAAATTGCGTTGCATGCTGAAAACTGCTACATACAATTATTTCCTCTTTAACATAGGACAATGCCTGATGCATCAACAAAGTAAATGGGTAGAATGATGTTTACTCATATGCTCACATTACACGTTTTCCTTTCAGGCTACATGTGGCAGCAAACAATATGTTCCAACCTGGTATCGCACAATGGCTGAACCAATCCTACAAGAGGAAGAGCCAGCACCATTTGCAGCCATTCAGGGACTAGTTACTCTGTTCTACTTCCTCCCTGGCTACTTAGTAGTTGCTTGGGGCATAATGGTTAATCCTGGCCAGAGATGGCTTCAAGATTTAGCTGTCATTTTAGCTGGAGCCACACTTCATGTAAATGACTATTGATGCCTTAGATTTATTTACAAGTGGTTTATTTAATAATTCTGTCAGTATCTCAGACTGACTGTGTCATCTTCATCACTGTAAGAACCTCAAATCTCAAACTTTATGTAGTGTTACAATGCTGCTTGTAAAACAGTATTTTTATTTTTATAATGTATAATTTAATGCTACCTAGAATTACTAGGCTGGCATACATTAAGCCAGTGATTATTACTGGTTCACAAACTACTTGTTGGGAAACACTGGTTTAGACCTAAGAACTGTAAGTTCCCTTGAGAAACAAATGTTAAATTTGAAAATTCCCAAACATCTGAAGGCAATAAATACCATGAAGATGGCAGTCTTCTGGGTTTTTAGGCCATGCACTCTGGTAAAAGTTTACAGACGTTTCAGATGTTCTTGCTGCCTCCATCATCAGGGAGAAGATTGACCTGATGATGGAGGCAGCAAGGACCTCTGAAGTGCCAGCAAACTTCTACCAGCCTATACGATGCGACAACCCAAAAGACAGCCATCTTCAGACTCAACACGGTGAAAACATCAAATCCTGCTTAACAAATACCATGTTATAATGGCTAGTCTTTCCCAATTAAATTCCATAATTGTTATCCTTACATCACTCACTGTTATACAACCATTGCAGATGATACAGCACTATTAAATAACCTTTTAATCACAAATATCTGACTGCAGGCTGGTGGTTCAACTGTGGGAATAGTTCTCCATAAGCTGACAAAACCTGAGCATCAACTAACATCAACTGTGAATCATTCTGCCTACTGGGCCTTCTGGGGTGTGAACATACTTCTAAGTATTGTACCTCAGATTGTAGCCCTTAGGTTAACGTGGCTGCCTGTACAAGTCAGACATCAAGTTCAACATGAGAAACTAAAAACAAATGACAAAAGCCAGGAGAAGCAAAAGAAGAGTTCAAAAAAGCTAAAGGAAAACTAAAATTATGATGTTCTTAATAAATCACTTACATGGAACAGTACTGTAAGTTTTCTAATGGCTGTAGCACTGGAATTAACAAAGAAATTCCTTTAATAAAAGAATATTTGGAAGTGTTACAAGTTTTTTCAATAGACACAAATTTCATGACGTTTCGGGTTGATGAGGTTACTAATAATTGTATAAATTACATAGGATAAACATTTAATAATTTTATGCATTCAGATTTATCTTTAACAAGCAAACCCAATCCCACAAAAGATATGTTAATATTATTAAACTGGCTATAAACATTCACTTCTTCCATTTAATAATTCCTGAATCAAGATTGTTGGCAAAGTTGAGGTAAAAAAGCATATGTGGTAGAATAGAATAGTAGTAAACCCCAACTTATCGGTGGCATCTCAGGGCTGTTCGTAATATAATAACTGACCCGAAGGTTCATCACCGGATTAACCAAAGCCCTCAACTGGTCTCTGTCCTCGGCCAGCAAAATCTAATCACCTTCAACTCATATATCCTACAGATCCTGCTTGATATTATCCTCCCATCTACATCTAGGTCTCATCCCTTCAGGCTTCCTGACCAACACCCAGTGCACACCTCTTGCTCCATTCATGGGCACCACATGCCCTGCCCATCTCATTCTTCTTGACTTAATCAACCTGGCAATGCTTCGGAGGAGTACAAATTTTTAAGCTCATAATTATGCAGTTTTCTCCACACCCCATCCTATTCCCTCCTAGGCCCAAATATCTCCTGAACAACCTACACCAGGCCTCGGAACTGGACGGACTCTTTGGCACGACCAAGGCAACTGAAATGGATTTTAGATTTGTAACCTGGAATTCGGAATGATAGTGAAGAGAAAAATTCTTCCAACTGTGAACTGAATTCCAGCTACTCAATCGACGGCCAATAACATGATAACTACAAATAAAACAAACTGTGACTAATTAATTATATTTACAAAAATAGCTGGTAGTAATGTTTAGAAAACTTCCTACGAAAAGTATCTAATTTATGAACTGCTTCAGCATACCTTGTTTAGTATCAAAAGCAGCAGGTTGTACGCAAAATAATTTCCACCACCAAACTGTACTTCTTGCCGGCTCATTACGTAAAAGTAAAGTTATCCACTAACGTGCACTGTTTGCGATACAAATTCATAACTGCACATGACAGTAAAGAACAAGTCTATTTAAACTGAAAGAAAGGAAATTATTATCCCCACGGAACTCAGCAGCAGAGAAATTCAGTGTGTTGGTTGCGCCTGCTTGGATTCTTCGCGCGAAAACAATTCTAAATCGTGAAAATGGAGGGATTTGATGATCCTGGTGTGTTTTTCTCTGATAATTTTGGGGACGTAGAAGCTGATGCTAATCAGCTTAATCTTCAGGCTTTTAAAAGAAAATTTAAGGATTTCTTGAGAAAATTTCACGAAGGAAATTTTAATTACAAGTACAGAAATGAACTGAAACGTCAATACAATCTTCGTCAGTATTGGTTAGAAGTGAACATTGAAGATTTGGCTAGTTTCGACGAGTCGCTTGCTGATAAATTGTATAAACAACCAACCGAAAATCTTCCAGTGTTTGAAGAGGCTGCAAAAGAGGTTGCTGATGAGGTTACGGCACCAAGACCAGAAGGAGAGGAAGGTGTGGAAGACATACAAATCTTTCTATCCTCTGATGCTAATCCAGCCTCCTTAAGAGATATGAAGTCACACGTAGTATCTCGGCTAGTTAAGGTACCAGGGATCATTGTGTCTGCTTCAGGAATCAGAGCTAAGGCAACCAAGATTGCCATTCAGTGTCGTTCTTGCCGAAATATGATTCCAGATCTCCCAGTTAAGCCAGGTTTGGAAGGTTATGTTCTTCCAAGGAAATGCACAACAGAACAGGCAGGTAGACCAAAATGCCCATTAGATCCATTTTTCATTGTCCCAGATAAATGCAGTTGTGTTGACTTCCAGGTGCTTAAGTTGCAAGAGTTGCCAGATTCTATTCCTCAGGGTGAAATGCCACGCCACCTGCAGCTATATTGTGATAGATACCTTTGTGAACGGGTTGTCCCAGGTAACAGGGTTATTATTTTGGGTATATATTCCATTAAGAAAATAACCAAGCCTTCTAAACATGGAGGTCGGGAGAAACCAATTGTTGGTGTGAGGGCACCCTACTTACGTGTTGTGGGAATACAAGTTGACACACATGGTACAGGATTCACCAGTGCTTTACCAGTTACATCTGATGAAGAAGAGATGTTTCGTCGCATGGCATCAAGCCCTAATCTTCATGAACGGATTGCTGCAAGCATTGCACCAAGTATCTTTGGAGCTACAGATATTAAAAAAGCAATAAGTTGTTTACTGTTTGGAGGGTCACGTAAACGTCTACCAGATGGACTGACAAGGCGTGGTGATATTAACATCCTGTTGTTGGGTGATCCTGGTACAGCCAAATCACAGCTCCTGAAATTCGTAGAAAAGGTGTCTCCTATTGGAATATATACTTCTGGTAAGGGATCATCAGCAGCTGGTCTCACAGCTTCAGTAAGTCGTGATCCTATCACTCGCAACTTTGTGATGGAAGGTGGAGCAATGGTTTTGGCTGATGGTGGTGTAGTCTGCATAGACGAGTTTGACAAGATGAGAGAAGATGATAGAGTTGCTATCCATGAGGCAATGGAACAACAAACAATATCCATTGCCAAGGCTGGCATCACAACAACCTTAAATTCCCGCTGCTCTGTCTTGGCTGCAGCCAACTCTGTTTTTGGACGTTGGGATGATACAAAAGGAGGGGAGAATATTGACTTCATGCCTACTATTCTGTCCCGTTTTGACATGATCTTCATAGTGAAAGATGTGCATGATGAAAACAGAGACAAAACCCTTGCAAAACACATCATGAATGTCCATATGAATGCTGGTCAGATGTCTGATGATGTTGCTACAGATGGAGAACTGTCACTAATGATGATAAAGAAGTACATAAACTACTGCCGGCTTCATTGTGGTCCGCGACTTTCAGAAGCTGCTGGGGAAAAACTGAAAAATCGCTATGTGCTGATGCGTGGTGGAACTAGGGAACACGAGTTGGAGATGGACAAAAAGTTATCCATTCCAATCACTGTGAGACAGTTGGAAGCCATCATACGCATAGCTGAGTCTCTAGCTAAGATGCAGCTGCAGCCATTTGCAACAGAATCACATATTAATGAGGCATTGAGATTGTTCAAGGTGTCAACCTTGGATGCTGCAATGTCTGGAACTCTGGCTGGTGCTGAAGGTTTCACTTCAGAGGAAGACCACGAGATGCTTACAAGAATTGAGAAACAATTGAAGAGGAGGTTTGCCATTGGTTCACAGGTTTCTGAGCACAATATTGTGCAAGATTTCTTGAGACAGAAGTATCCAGAGCGAGCTATTTACAAGGTAATCCACACAATGATTCGCCGAGGGGAACTGCAGCACAGGGTGCAACGCAAGATGCTTTTCCGTCTCGCATAAGTGGGGCAAGTTGGTGTAAACTTAAATATTATCTTTTATATATGGGAAATGTAATATTTAAGCTCCTCAGTTTTCATAGAAAATAAATATTAGGAATAATGCAGAATAGTTTGAAATACAATAAACCTTTGTTAATCCAAATATTGCATAATCCAGTCCTTGGTTGGTACCATGTGGTTGTGCTCAAAGTTTATTAACATCTGTACAGTGAAAAACTCATTCTGTCATCCTTAAGTAACTTCTTTATCATGTCCTAAAAGTGTTTAAGAGTGAATTATGGCATGTAATTAAAGCATATCATCATCTGAAGCACATTAATAAATTAAGGAATGAGACTCTAAATTACTGTTAAGGTTTCACCTATAGTAGTTTTAATATGTTTATGTTCTGACAAGGCAGTTCCTCAAGCTAAGAAGGGATAAGCATGATCCTTTGAGATAAAGCTTACATTCCTGATATAATTACTGTGTCATGGTATATTAAAACAATATTAAAGTGTTTCATATGTATTTTTTGTTAAGCTGAAGACCTGCAAACTCCTCCCACTTCTACCCATCATGCCTTTCACCTGACACATTTGGTGATGCTATTGTAAGAGCTCATAAGGCACAATACTGGAACTATAATCCACAACAATTGGTAGAGTTACTTTTGTTCTGATTCCTGTCTTCAAGTTAAAAATACAATTTTCATACTGAGACTTTCTGCATATACACTTTTCTTCTGTAGTAGAAAAAAACTTGAAAGGAATTAGGGAAAATTAAAACAGTGAAGATTTGTAAGAATTTTTAATGCACAGTCCATGTATGTTCTTGTGAATTCAATACATACTAAGCTGTTTCCAGATATTCTTTGTTAACAAAACCAATGAATGTTAAGAAAATTCTGAAATTAAGATGTATTGTGATTTTCTGGTTTTTAGTTTGTTCCAAAACCAGTTTCAAAAAGTAACTCATGTTTTGAAGTAGCTGAGACAAATTGACTATGTCCTCAAATGAGACAGCTTCAGTATAACTGGGAACCACTGTTGAAGTACTGAATTGAATCTACTTCCTTGAGAGTTTTCTGGCATATGATTTTGCATACATAATGTTGTTTCACAGCCTCTCTCACATGTACTTTTCATTGTTTGCAACTTATATTATATACACCATCAGTTGTGACACATGTGGCCCATGTGAATATATTGTGGACTTCATTCTCATGTGGCTGAACACTTGAGAATAGTTCAGTGAGTTCTAGTTATTTCTGTTTGATGCAGTGTTGGATCATTTGGTGTGGTGATAAGACAATGTTAACAGTAAACTGAGAATTACATAAAATTACTGGGAAATTCCTCATTTTTGAATTGCATCAATATATGACAATGTTTCAGTAGGCCGTGGCCATGACCCACACGGCTCTGCACAGCATATTTCATGACTGAATCAAATCTCTTCTGGAACCTTGCCTTGGACACCAAGGTCCTTTGGGCAGTTCCAGACTTATGGGCTTACTTATACATAAAGGTATTTCAACTCATATTCACTCCATTCAAAACCAGAGAACCTGAATTAGACAGGAATTTGAAGCCATTAACCTAGACATCCTACATCACATTGTCGACAGCTTTACAATGAGACTTTGACAATGTACTGTAGAGGAAGATGGATTTATTTGAATTATATAATATTTGAAAGGTAAACTGACACTGCACACTTAATCCACATGTATTTAGAGCAAGTACCACTCTTGTAATAGATATATTTTCCATTAGTTTGATACTTATTGGTTTATAAAACCACCATCTTCTGTCGGCCACCTGCAATATTGTCACACTCTTAACTTACAGTATCATTTTCTATCCCCTTTGAAACAGTATCTGTATTCGTAACACTATACTTCTTGTCTCGATGTCCAAATATTGAGCTTCCGATCCGAACATTTGTACTTCCCATTTCAATCTGCAGATACCATTTAAACACAAATTAACACACATTTTCCAGTCATGAATATTATTTACAATATATATTCACCTGGCAATGCTGATGTAGTGGAATAAAGGTAACTGGTGGCAAATTTAGTACAGAGCTAGGTATAAGCAATATTTTTTGGTGAGTCAACTGCATAAGAAAGGATCGCCAATAATACCAAGATTAAGATGGCAAGGTAATGTTGTAATGAAAACAGATCATGAAATGTGGGTTGGACATGGAAAGAGACCACTTTCAAGTCCAACAGAATAATGTTCAGTGGAAGAGGATATAAAGGTGTGGACTAGAATCAGGTGGCTCATGATATGGAGAGTCTAATGACAGATGTTTCGAAACCTCAATCAAAGCCTCGGACAGACGGACCTAACAGCAGCGAAGGATAGGAACGAATGGAAGAGGAGAACTGAGGAGGCCATGGACTGAATATGGACCGGAGAACCATAGAAGAAGAAGAAGAAGAATGACAGGTTCTTGTGATGAACCTACAAGAGGGCACTTCTTAGATCACCTAAATGAACAAGAAAACAAAAGAATAAGACGATAACTTCCTTTCAAGATAGTGCACCACGTAGTCTTGTAGATAGTGAATAGTGATTCAAAGGTGCTTACTGCCTCCATCATCAACAGGTAAGCCGCGCACAAGAAAGCAGGGTGAAGGTATAGGAGGAGGCTGGACAACGTTAAAGGTTGGTCCAGCCAAGTGTCAACAATGTGCGGCTTCCTCCTGTATCTCTACCTGCTTTATCGTGCATGTCATACTCATCACCCTGATGTAGTTAGCAAACACTTCATACTTGCCTCTGTGAGAACCTAAAATTCAATTAAAAAGAATAAATTTGTGAGTGTACCAAGTATCATTAAAATATAAAATTATGAGTAAGTTGGAAGTAACTGAAGGGTTTAAGATCTACAGAAATCTGTTACACCACTTATGTAAATACATGTTTAAGATCTGCAGAAACCTGTAAATACATGTATAATTGTACCCAACTTTATTAACACATTGCCATCTTATGTACTGTGTTATAAGAACTGTAGTAAAACTAATCCATGTTAATCATTAACAATGTTATAATTTTTATACACAAATCTTGACAATTTTGTGACTGGCATATTGACTCAAAAGTAACATTCTGGGCTAGAATTTTAATCAAAATAACAATTATAAAATTCTTCAATGTATTCATGGAGAGTATGGCCAAATGCTGTACAAGCATTTGTCTTTTTCACCTCTTTATGAACTGTGCTAAGAGAGAATGAAATGCTGTATAAGTGTGATTGCTTTGTGTGTAGTCAGTTATTGCTTCTTGCATTACCATATAAAGGTGCAGCTCTGAAGATACAGATGCAGTTCTTCAATCACAGAGCATCTTGGTAAGATGCAGGCAGTATCATTCCTCCAAATCATTGGTAACTATCTACAAGACATGACATCATAACCCAGAAGACAATCAACATCTTGCCACCCGAACCTCAGATCTCAAAAAAGTAAAACATATTTTGTAAATATTTATCATTCTAATTAGAATGTTAACTGTGTGAACAAAATTAAAATGTACAGTCACAACCCAAAAGACAACAGATGTTACACATTTTTCTGAAAATGGAAAAATTGGCAATAGACGGGCAAAAAATCTGTTTGTAGGATAAGTTACATGATAACACAAAAACTACATGGTATCACAACCAACACTGTGACTGCCATGATCTTGGAATGTTACTTAACAGATCATTTAATCACTAAGTACATCTATTTCAGACACTTAAAATTACCTTTTCCTGCAGTATTACCTATGAATAATTACAAAGTATAACTTACTGCATGTTCAAAGTCATCTGACATCCCCATGGAGAGCTCTAGATTGTCTATACCAATACCAAGAGCTTGGCAAACTTCACCTTGAACTTTCTTCAAACACTGCAAAGTGACAGTAATGTATTAGCTGCAGTTCAATGATGCTTAATGACAGAGAACAAGTTAGGGAATGCATAGTATAACAACTGTGACATTTTCACTCTCCTTTTGCCTCTAGATTTCTGATTAATGAAAGTTCTTTTGTAAGTAGTTATGGGATCCTGTTTGTTCTGAAGGTCAATAACTTATGCAACAGGATGTCTGGTGCCTGTTGGGCTCAATGACGATGCAATCAGGACGATTCTCCCCTACTTCAAGGTCACTTCCATGTGAAGAAACAAAAATACTTAACTAACTATATGGAGTAGAGTCCTTGAGAAGCTAACAGTCACTAAGCTAGTTTAGAAATTTCATGTCTATTATGGAATTCAAAGGTTCATTACCACATTAATTAACAAACCTAATATAACACAAAATTTTAGAAGCCTATATTAAGCAACACTGTTAATTTTTAACCTGAAATATTACATCTTGTGTATTAATAATAACCTTCCACAAAATATATATTCAGAAAGAGTTACTTTCATGGAATGTTTTCTCAATGATGTGTTTTCATCGTCTGATAGAAAGTTTTCATGAAAATAACCATTTCTGAATGAAGTTGTTTAGACATTTACATTAGTGATGATGCTCACATCTTAAATTTGCATGACTGTCATGTTAGCATTACTGATAGCTTCTAGTGGCATGATTTCTACACAGATTTTTATAGGCTGATTCATCCTTACAAAATGAGGAAAGCAGAATACCACACCAATCTTATTGAAGTAAAAAGGCCCAAAAATATGGAACATATCCTACTTGTCATACTTACAATGAAATCTGGATTTGGTCCCTGAGATAAATCATGACCAAATTTTCCTATCGTCATGAGCCCAATTAGCTCCAGACTGGGACATTTATCTAAAATATGTTTCACAAGTTGTGTCGCTTCCTCTAGAGCACAGCCATTCTTCTCTGTAGCAAAGAAAAATATTACATGTAGTTTCTTACCATTGCATTTCAAACCTGCAATTAATTCCAACCATCAAATGTAATACATTATAATCAACTGTTTTAACGGTTACAATCAGATATTACACACATTTCAGCTCCGCTGAGTTACCTTCAGATTTACTGCAATTATATGGCTTTAATGTTGGTAATAAATAATTATTAATCATGTTTCATTTCTACCGAACCATCTTCAGAAGTATCAAAATGATAAGGTTCTCATGTTTGATAATAAATGTGATTTTAACTGCTGTACCAATTGACTATAACATATTATATTTGACAGTCTAAATTAATATGTAAAAAAGCTAAACAAGCTAAACTAGCAAAATATTGGGAATTATTTTTATCTTTTATGGAACAAACCTGCCAGTACTGCGTTCAAGATAAGAAACTGAAGATGCATTGGTTAGGGCTACTGAATGGAACAGCAACAAATTACATAACGGAACAAGCAAAAGTAATCGGACAACAGATAGGTGTGAAAATATGTATAAAGCAGTGGGTGGTTGAATCACTTCAAACAATGATGTGGACTAACCCAGCACAACAAATAAAACCGATGGAGAAATAGCAGAGATGATTACAGTCCTGGCACTTAGCTGGTCGCAGAGTCAATATAATTGTTTTGTACAGATGTGCAAACTGATTACAGAGTATGCCTTTAAGTTTCACAGCATTGCAGAGTGACTAAACCCCAGGTAAATACAGACTGCTCAGACTACAATGCAAGTTTCCTCATCTTCATCATCCTTCCTACTTAGAGACTTGGTTATAATCATCAGAGAACAGAACCTTTCCATCATTTCTGATATTCCTAAATGTTTTTTTCTAGCTTTATAATTTAGAAACTTTTTATTAGTTTAAACTAAAATAATCAATTAGTATTATGGCTACTAATTTCACACTATATTATTAATTTCAAATACAGTTTTATCTTTTCAGATCCATAGTTATAAGAGTTAAATTCCAGGTAAACAAGAAAAATGTTTCTTAAAGTAAATATGCAGGTAATATGGGATACTCAAACAGTATTTTCATATATGAATCTGAAACAATACAAACACTGTACAAATAAAGTTGTTAATGGTGTTAAGATGATGTGGCTATTTATACCTGCTACAAAATAATAATTATTAATGCAACTGGTGAATCACTGGTTCTGTATGTTGATGTACTAACCATCCTCTCCACTTGTGTTAATTTGTGCCATAACCTTGAGTCTTGCACCCTGTCCTTTCTGTTTGGTCCACGCCACATCTAAAGCAGTTGCCAGTTTATCAGTGTCAACAGTCTCCACCAAGTACAGGCCAGGAACAGACACAACTTTGCTCACTTTGTTCCGTTGCAGGTGGCCGATGAAGTGCCACTTGATCTCTGAACATTTATCTATAATCTTAAAATAAATAAATGTGATTCACAAGTTTCCTTTTCACACGACTAATGCAATAATATGAAAACTAACGATACCTCATTCTGAACAAATCCTGGCAGGATACTTAAAATTAATCATTATATCAAGTAGGTCCACTCTGCTTTTTAGACTACTTTTTACATATAATACCATACTCATCACTATATATGAAGTTTTTAAGTTTAAAAATAATCAGACACATTTTATTATGTCTAGAAAATAATTATTAATCTTGAAGTTCTATCAAATGTGCTCAGCACATCAGGCCCATTGTTACCTGTCACTCTCTCATATGCCTGTCAAAGGAAGTAAAATCTATCACTGACCAAACAGCATGACATGAAAAATAAAATTATAGGCAAGGATATCTTTGGCTTAAAGACATGATGTGGTCTACACTAGGCAATGAAATTATGAGCACAGCTAACAAAGGGTTAATATCACACCCACATATAGCCAAACCAGTTGAAAAACCTTCAAACATATCTAGCGTCAAAGATTTCTGTCGTCTGGGTTATTGCGCTGTGTAGTCTGGTCGATGTTAACCAACGTTTCAGAGGTCATACTGCCTCCGTCATCGCCCTGATGATGGAGGCAGTATGACCTCTGAAACGTTGGTTAACATCGACCAGACTACACAGCGCAATAACCCAGACGACAGAAATCTTTGACGCTAGATATGTTTGAAGGTTTTTCAACTGGTTTGGCTATATGTGGGTGGCGTCAGTTCAAATCACGTAGCTTTCTCATAAATATGTTATCTGAATATCAACATCACCAATATTATAGAGACATTTTTGGAAGATAATTGTATTTAATATATACAACTTTCAACCACATGTGATTTATTGGTAGAGGTTGACATGTGTTTAGACCAAAATATGTTCAAGTCATGACTGACATATAATAAAATCTGTTTGTTTTTGAATAACAATTTACTCAAAACAAATAATTAATCATTCCAATGCTCTTACCTCTGTGTCATGACCTTTGTCAACAAGCTCCTGGACATAATTCTCTCCAAAATTTCTTTGACCATGTTCATAAGCTGTAAGAATGAGATCTTTGGGTTTTGTCTTGCTAACAGCCACAAGTCTAGGTTGCACTTTCTGCAGTTCCTACAAAAAATATTATAACTGAATATTTAAACTACAAGTTAAATTAACACAGTATGTACTCTTCTCACTCACTCACACACACATACATACAAAGCTTTGTCAGACATAGGGAACAGGAAGGCATGCAGGATGACGTGCATGATGTTCATACCAGGTTTTATAAATAAACTATCAACTGGTTCAAATGTATTAGGAGGAACAATCATACCTACCTATATGTCCACAATGTACCACAAACCAAAAGAACATAATCAGCTTATCCTCTGCTGCTTCTACTTTTGGCACCATTATATACAAATTGAAAAATGACACAACTTATGTTGGTCTTTTAGGTTATAACATATGGATTTGCAGGCTGACATCAGTGTTCTGGAGGAACACACTGGCATCCGCGTGTGCTTCGTTCAAAAGTGTAAGAACCAAATGGCCTGTCTTATGTTGTGTATAGTCACATGACTTCTGGAAAATATAGTACTTTCCATCTTAACCGAAAAAGAATGTAATATATGAATGAAGCTTTCGATCTGTCGATGGTAATTGAAATGCTATAATACAACTGTGATTCAGATTTAGCCTTAATATGTACATGTTACTTGTGGAAGTGCAATAACAACACAACTGTAACATAATATGCGTTGACAGCCTGTCAGAGGGAAAATATGGTTATTTTAATCACTTTACTTACAGGTGCTCTTTTCTGGCTTGCTGCTCGTACTCGTTCACGAACAACCCGTAAACCTTTCACCACATCATACTCTGACATGATTAATCTTAGCATAACATAAACCACACTTCGATACAATCAAGTCGATTGTAGTATTTCGATTACGACGGCTGTCCCTCACGATGATCCCACATTGTGAGAGAAATTAGAAACGATGAGTTTGAAGCTCGAGTTTCACAGAGCATTGATACTATTGTTGCCCATCTCATGCTGGTTAATTTCCAGCATTGTAACAGGCCAAATAAATGTACTGCTAGGGCCACATGCGAACTGTCAACAGCTGCTTGAGAAAAAAAAATACTTAAACTTTCACTTTTATAACATAACCTGTATAGGAATCTTATTCCATTCAGTTTTGAAATGCCAGTCATTTTTGTAAGTTACCGTACTGGCCTATAATTTTAAGCTGATAGATATTTGGTCGCTCCATTACCAGATTTTGCTTTTAATAAAAAAATTTTTTGAAAAATATTTATTTAATGTGTGTTGTATTTTGATTTATGTGACTTGTCTTGTTGGAGGTTGTCAACGTTTTGGGGAATATATCAGGAGTTTAAGTGACTATAGGGGAGGTGATCCTTTCTCCTGATACATTGATAATTACCTGCAAGAACACATAATGTCACAACAAAACCACAACTAATCTACTGCCATGAGAACCTCATTTGTAAGATTTATTTGTTTCTTAGTATGTTTTATCTGCACTGTTTATACAGTGTTGACTACAAGTGATAAATTGTGAAGTAATAGGAATTCATGACCAATTGTAAGGTACCATTCCAGCATTTCTTGGCCAAACTATTGAAACCCATTACAAAACCTGAGGATAGTTCATGATTTAGACTATGCATTTTCAGAATATTTTATTGAAATTGACACTGAAATATATTTTTGACATAATATCTGTATAATATTTTAATAAATGGGATCAGCTGCTCAGAACAATAAAATTATATAAGAATTCTGATCTTATAAATAGAAGTGTAACACATCCTTATCTGTAGCCATTATGTTTAGTAATTTTATATCAGCAACATATTTATTTAGATGAAGATTTATACAATTTTAATTCATTAAAGTACATTGATAACTATACACACCATGTACTTTAGCATTGAATAACTTTTCATTTTACCACAGAGCATCATGGGTTTTGTATAATTCTCAAAATATACAGTGATTATTTCCCTATGCAGCAATAACCAACTGCTCTTGGTAATGGTGAAGTGATGCATTTTCTTTTAGGTAGGAACTGATTTTTAAATAGTATGTACATGAACTACAAGCTCCAAACAGTTAACTGGAGTTCTTCATCTGTAGTATTCCAAACCCATTGAACACCAAGAGTTCAGCGCAGATTTTGGAAACTCAGACTCTTAATAGAATTCCTATGTTGTCTGATGCCGAACGATGGTTTCTTGCGGGGAACATTGTATTTGTGTTTTGGTGTAGATCTCTTCTGGTGCATCAGTCTGTATTGCCAATACAGTCTGAATGTCAGATAGTAGAACAGCTCTGCTCCACTTAGCAATGAAAAACCAAGACATAAACCTGCAATACCACCAAAGGCCACTGAAAAAAAAATTATGTCTGGTCAGAAAACTTGGTTCATTTGCTTTTATTTCATGTAACCACTTGGATTTAGAATGGTACAAAATGCTTGTCATGACGTTAAAAAATAGGAAAACACCTGTCAAAATAACCACTCAGTTAACTGGAGCTATATAAATTAATAAGCCACTATAAGAATACGTTAACAGCCCTACATAAAGAGAATGTGTATCTGATGAACATTTTGCGTGATAAACACGTCAGAATGTATTAATAACTAATCAACAGAAATGTATTATGTAAAACATTATTTACGATCAATGACAATTTATCGGCATTAAGTATCCAAACCAGATGAGAATTATTAATTATTCTGTCAACTTTTACAAAACATTTATCTTACATTAACTCACATTCTTTGCATTTCTCGAGATAGTTATATAATAGTCCACAATCAACAGTTTTCAGTCTGAATGTCAAAAATAGACGGAAGTAGGAAGTACGATTACTGTTGAAGTAATGGACGTGTCTTTTTACAACAATGAGTGAGGCACCCTTACTCACCTAGAAGATCCAGCCAGCTGTACGATATATCGGTCCGATATCTAACAATCGCAGGGTTCTCGAAATGAATATCCATAAAAATTGTATTTTTTATGTCTTCTTCATTTCCACCACCTTCACTGCGGACACATAGCATAAGTTTATGGAGAATTTCTTTCATTAAGATTAAGCGTCTAGCACTATCTTACTTCATCGTTTAAATCCCGACCATCCAGCTCATCCGGCGGCAAGTAGGCCCTTCAGTAGCCAGAACCCGATGGCCTGGACCAATCTTTTGCCATTTTAACAGAAAGGGTTTGTTCTTCACTCCTGAAGACGACTTAAGTTGGCTACAACTCGTCTCAACAGACATCAAGGGACAACAGGAGGGAATTTATACAGCAGACAGCGTTAACTGTTAAACAGTCTTTCATCATGGCTTTTCAATTTAACATTTTTACTTGCGAAAATAAATTGTTTCAGGTAGTCTTACATGATTGCTATTAATATATAGTACGCAACTGCAATCTTGAGACTTGCAAGGAATGTAGGAAGCCCGAAGCGTTAAAGGCAGACGATATCTGTCCTCCTTCCTTCTGGGGGAATTTGCGTATGCAAAGTAATAGACCACTAACGTTAATATCAATATTAATTACAGTTTTTGCTAACCCGGAATGTTTGAAGGGAAGGAGATCCGTAAGATCTTTCCAAAACCTCTTGTTTTAACTGATTTTTAAATCGTTTCCTGTTGTTTACTGTTTCACATAACATTTTAGTCTTCAGAGTGTGTTCTGTAACACTGATAAATATAGCTGGCAATTTAGGGTTTTTAAATGGACGACACTGCTTCAGGTCATCGAAGCTTCCTGTTTTCAGAATCAAGTTCACTCTTTTTATAGCCAACCTTCTCTTGTACTTTGGAAACTTACGCGATACGATACATGGACATTGCAGTAGTGTATTGCGAGAAGCTACAATCTGGCGCGCACACACACTTCATGCCCTCCACTGCATCGCTAAAGAACTCATTCGCTTCTCTCGGCTGATGATAGTTGAAAACAACTGTGAAGAGAACATTACATTAGCTACACCCTTTAAGGAAAAATCCAGGCACTTGCCCGGAGGAACTGAGAAAAAACTACGAATAACCTGAGGACAGCCAGTATCCGAGTCGAGATCTGAATCCGGGATTTCCCGGGAACGAAGCAGGAGCGATGACACCAAACCGCGACGTTCGATAGTATAAAAAAATTCTAAACTAAAATAAATTTAATTTTTTGGCGTTATAATATGTATCTTTTCAAAGACCTCGTTATACAGAAAAAAATCCTCTGGTATCAATTAAATTTCTGAGTCTGTATATAACACCATGCTTTGTTTTTACGTCTACTGAACAGAATAAAATTTTTTGCAGCTCATGCGACAAAAGCGTTTTAAAGTGGCTTGCGTGTAAAAAATGTTAACGATATCTTTAATGAGACATTTTAATTTCATTTTAATGAATGTGTATCCTTCATAGTCATTGCTGGCATGTTAAAAAATTATCTGGAATAAAACACGAGGTTGTCTTTGTCTCTGAGTTGCGTGTCAACCTGAATTCATTCCCATACAAATGCCAGTTACAATACAAACAGATATGCGTCTGATGTTAGAATGTAGGCCTAATTGACTGTAATTATCGCCATCGTCATAGATATGTGTGCTTTATTACTGTCTTTTATGAAATTCATGCGTAGTTATACACACACATACAAACGACAATAGCTTTGACTGAAATAATGTTTGTGATTATTTATTTAACACAAAACTATTAATGTTATCATCCACATTCATTATTATTGTACATTCAAAGAGAGGTTCAGATAGGCTAATCATATAGTTCCAAAAGTGGAAGTAAGACACTAGGCTCACTAGAGAGGCGTCATTTCTCTGGGGGCCTTCCTCCATGGTCAAGCTCCTCCCGCCTATGTGGTACCTACGTCTTTGAGCAGATCACATATTTTTGTTGGCCGCAATTCTATGAAAGTGAAGAAATTACGGGATAATATTATAACGTGACTCAAGGAACTAGGTTGCGAGGATCGTGTCCAATGGAGACGTCTGGTAACAGCGTTCGAGTTCTATTAACGCAGGCGTAGGTCCTACTAGTTCATTACATGGACAGGAAGTTAGCATTTCACAACTGATTACTGACTTATCAACTAATGCGACATGTCTCTTTCGATTCGACGTGCTAAAACTTACGGTTATATTTTGCAAGACACAGATAGCCAGCGACGTCACAAGACGTTGCATTGCCTGTAAAAAAACAAACAAGAAACGTTTTCTTAAATTCGATTGTGCTCTGTTGTAAACTTTTCAGTATGTCAGTACTTCATGATCTTATTCCTGAGGTCATTTCCAGCAGAAAATTGAGCAGATTTGCATGAACACAAAGTAAACAGAAGAGACGAGCTACATCATCGAATTTTTGGTGACTTACCGAGGTATGAATAGAAGAAGTATGGCACACAGTTGCAGTACTGTATGGTGTACCTGAGGTGACACTGCGTGATACAATTATGGAACACGTAGCCGCCTAGATCCATGATGTTTCCTTCATCCTGATACAAACAATCACGTTCTTCTACACTGAGATATCGCACCCTGTCCACTGTGTAGGTGACCTGAGCATTGATGTTTACCCACACAGATTGGCCTCCGGAAATTACCCTTCCGTTCTCTGGATAGTCGTAGGGGTTGTTTACCATAAGCTAAGGCCAATAGAAGACATTGCGGATTTGTAAATGAGGACCTCAAATCACTTTCATACAACAATTTGGAGGAAATATATTTTACAAATGCGTACTTTCTCATTTTTTACACCTAATTGAACTCGTCCATATATCACAGCTAAAGTCACGACTCAAAATTATCAATTTTTAAATACACAAATATAAGCACACATTCATGCATAGGTCTACACACACAACCTAACCAAATAAAGAGGAGTTTTGCTTGAAGTCTGGTTCGGCCAAGACAGTGGTACTTACTATGACGCCCGGCTGTATCTCTGGATCGGGAGGGGAGTCGTTCGTGGCGGTCACTGTGAAGCGAAGACCTCCCCACGGGCCGTAGCTGCTGGTTCGACGAGGGCGCAACTCCTCATCCTTATTCACATCTGGTGAATGTTTTGGGGGCCGCAGGTAGTACGCACTCGAATCAAACCATTTCCGAACCCTGAAACCCCCAGCAGAAACAAGAAGACTCTCCGACCTGCTCAATTTATCTGCCCTGTTTTGTTACATAACGGTTAGGTTAGCATTCAGAATCAAATCGCGCTTTAATTTATAAATTTTTCAGTTCATGCTTTTTAGCAACAAATAATATAATGAAGTAAATCCATGGGACCGAGTGTTTCTTATAAAACTTATAATATGCCGAGCTAATTAAAGAAAAGTGTCGTCATCTATGGGATCCGAAGTTACATCACCATGTTCACATAGCTCGCTACCAGTTCCAATCCAAAGCCAGATGAATCCAATCTACACCTTCCTATTTAAAAGCTTCATATTATCCTCCACTTTTGCATAGATCTTCCGATTGGTTTATTATGTTAAGGCTTCCCTACCAATTTTTTTACGTATTACTCATCACTATTAATGTATGCTACATGTTCTGTCCATCTCATCTGAGTTGATTTCATCATCCTGATAATACTTGGTTGAGAGTACAAATGACGGGTCCTCTCATTATCGAGGCTTCTTCACACTATTATCACTTCAGCACTATTTGGTTCCAAACAAACAGTACAAGAAACAAAAGCACAACAGTAAGCAAATTACATAATAATTGAGAAGGAACAACCTTCAGTTAGATTTCCTCGCAGATGATTTTAGCCTTTCTTATGTTCACGATTCGTATGTCATTTTTATTTTCGTAACACCCCTATAATATTACCTACTAAATTATTCAACAATCTCTCGGTGAATGACTGCTTTCATTTTTACAAAACTTCAAAAACATTCAACAAATATTACATTTTTTTACAAAGTTAGTGATTTGATTTTAACGAGGACTACTGCTCACTTTTATGAAGCAATTTCTGATCCATTAGGAAAAACAGCATCTAAGGACAAGCTTTGTTGTTACATACAGAATGATTGATTGCATAACTTGCACGATTGAGTATGATGAATGGCATAATAGTTTAGAAGGTCACAAACGTCAACCATCATTATTTTATTACAGACATTGATTTTCATACACAAGTCAAAATCCTTTGTTTCCCATATACCAATTACTTCATTGTTCATACCGAATGCTACAGACACAAGTCGTTAAAACCCCAAGAATAAATCACTCGTATTAAATAACTACTGTCTTTATTGTATGTCCTCATTTCTATTCTTATTCAGGAGTGTATGGACCTGCAAGGGGTCTGAGGAACCACCATGATCCATAAACTCGTTCCCACAACACCACGACGGCGAATACAGGCCCAGAGTTAAGTCCTCACACATTGCAATCTTAGCACTAGATGAAGTTTAGTAAGATACATTTATTTATAGTTTATTTAACAACGCTATTAGTATCTCGGAATACAGTGTCGAATTGTATTTTGATTTATGACTTGTAAATTTGAAATGATGTGAAAGAAAGCTGTCGTGGCCTAATTTAAGGCACCAGTACTATTGGGGTATTTTCCCGGAAGAAATGAGGAAAATTTATCAGGAGAGCCGGTCTCCCGGCCAAGATTTGTACCAGGGAACTCCGAAATATGAATCAGTTATTTTGACCAGTCGACCATGAGGTGTGTTGTTGGTTCTATACTTCGACCGTTTGACCCCAAAGGAATAGCCGTATATACCCATTTTATTTCCAAAACCAAACTAGACGTTGTGGAGAAGATAAACATTTCCGAGAATCAAACCATCTAACCTGAAGTTACTCACATTATCGACTGAACTGTCGCTTCTCATATTCTTATTACTGATGTAGCTCATGTTCATTTGTTCATTAAAACTCTGACTCACCCAGAGCTGACTTCTGACACCTCCGAGTTGAATGAGTAGCAGTAGCCATACTCTGTCCTCTGAAGCTCGAAGATGTCACAGCAGTTGTGGTAATCATTCCGCCACCAGCATTGACTCACGGTCATCAGCTCGCTGCACTCCGGCATCACCTGAACATACGACGTCTACTTCCTTAAAATATTTCCACCTCTGTGGAGAATCCGTCGGACGTAATGAGTCCGTTGACACTTGCTAGTACTCCTTGAAAAGGGTTTCGATCCATTGCAAGACTCTGCCTGCAGCGTAGGTTACATCACGTTACTTTAGATTACGTTAGAATAGAGGGCTAATACAAATGTTATCAAATACTAAAGGAATACATGAGTAGTACGTGGCCCAGTTCAGTAAATAAGTTAGATTATTTTCAAAATTCTATTCAATAATGACGGTCATTAATAGAAAATTTAAGACTGTGACACTACGTAAGCCCACATAAAACAGACACTTCACATATTTGCATGTGGCTCTTAAAATATGACTTATGGATCATACTAAAATTAAGAATTTCACAATAAAATTAATTATACTAGAGCAGCTTTGTAAAATATTGATAGTTATGACTTATAAACGACTTACATCGAGCATGAGCTGTGACACGTTCAATGTGGCCAGCTCCGGAGTGTTGACGAAAGAAGTGTTTTCGAAGTAATTCCCGACAAGATCAAAATCCCCAAACTCTACCAGCGCCATGGATTTGAGAAAAATGTGAAACATTTTTATGGTTTCGTTGGAAGCATCAGCGAGATATCTGTGAAAACAGTTACGAGGATTACACTTGAATGACTGGCAGATACAAAGCCAGTCCACTTCATTTCAAGCTATTTATTTGTCAAAGAATTGTTGTCTTTCATCAAAAATTCGTTATTGAAATTTAGGTTTCATCCTATTCAATATTTTTCTGACGTACAATTAGCATATTTCATGCATATGATCCATTAAGATCTTTCAGAATCGTATGCTTTTTCAATCCAATTTTATAACATAATCTCATAGAACAGTCTGATGTGTTGAAGACAAAATAAGAGGTTCATACAGTATGGTATTGAAAGCTGAGTTAGGTTTAACATAATTAATTACGAGAATCTTCATAATTTGTACTTTGTCAGATATTTTTTTAATGGCTAATCTGATATTGAACGAAGACACCCATTAAGAAATTTGTTACTTAGTAATGTGTTTTGACTGAATGTTTGTGCTACTGAAAAGTGTATAAGAAGTTATTTTACCGTTCCTGGAATTGCATAGCTTTCTTCCAGTGTACTCTGTTGGCGTCACATAGTGTTACAGACGGAAACGGGATATTTGATATGGGAAAGTTGGTACTCTCTATGACAGACATTGTGGGACTGTTAGCGAATCGTTGCCAGCTGACAGCAGAAAGGTACATGGTTCCAGAAGCAGCTATAGTACATAGCAAGCTCCAGAGGACTCTAAAAATATATAAAAAGTCAAGAATTTAATCTTATTTTAACAAACATGCTTAAAAATTATTTATTATTAAGAAGCGTTAGTTGAACTGGTAATAAGGATCACTTTTTAATTTTAATTGTATTTTTATAAACTATACGGAATTTTGCAACTGAAATTTTGTTTCAAAATGGGATTGGAAAGTTGATCAAACACGGTCATATTGTTTATGTGTGAGCCATTATCAATATCTCCACGTTGCAGGGCTTTCCTTGAAAAGATGACAGTCATTTATATGGTCGACGAATTTACTAGTTCATAGAACCAAAATGTTTGTCACCGTATTCACAAAATCCGCAAGTAATTTCTCTTCTGGGAAATATAAAATTGTTCGCCGTGCTTATTAAACACCACGTCACATTTAAATATTCAACCCCTACTCTAAAGAAGACACAACTCGTCTCCATTACAAAGATTAGTTGTCTAATGCCATTTAGGGAAATAATTCCTGTTTATCATAAGATTCATATACCCATAAATGCACTCTTTAGATAAACGTTTGAGTTGCTGAATTTTAAAGTAGGTAGTTTATATAGTTACCAATGAAACCCAAAGGGTTAAACCTCACAACAGAAAGTTAAAGGCTTAAAACACAAAATTTCTCGTTCTTTAATAAAAAATCATTTTTATGAATTTAAAAGGAGAGTAGATTTTGTACATATCATTTGTACTGAATGTTAGATTGTTTTGTTTATAAATAATCTGTTGTTGACAGGCGCAGTCAGCACTTCACAGTATCACATATTCTATTACTACCATATTTATCACTGGAGATATGTCATTACATAAAGTACCAAAGAAAATATATAAACCTTAGAGGAACGAAGCGGGAATATATAGGTCATTACATCACGGGAAAGTTTATGATTGGTACAGATCACAACGTACAGTAAGGCAGTGAAATTGTATCCAACGGGCGCTGAAATACAATGGAGAAGGCAAGAAATGCATACAAAACTCTACGAACAGAATTGAAATCTCTTGGAAAGCGGCTACTTGCTAGACGGTGTGTAGGAAGATTTCATGAAGACGGGTGTCGAAGGAAAAAGGTTGTTAGGATGACAGATGAATGGAATCGCCTCAGGAACACATTCACATTCTGATTTTATAACCAGTTATTTAGTTAGTACGCAGTGTTTTATAGTATTTCGTAAAAAAAATTATATACAAAAAACACGTGTATCTGCCCAATGAATAGTTTTTGTAAATAAGGATTTGTGATTTGACCGTGTAGAAAACGTCCTGTCTGGAATAACTACACTTATTTATCTGGAATTCTGGGCATACGAAGCGCTCATTACGAGATTTGAACACTCACCTTTCATACCAGTGTCTGTCGCGCTGGGCAATGTACTTCATGCCGTGCAGGGATGTATTTTCACAATAATCGAAAATAAACCCTCTGATAATGATGGGTTGTTGTTGTTGTTGTTGTTGTTGATGTTGTCGTCGAGTTTGGAACGTGTCGTATTGCGATACTGGATACGCCGGAGTTTTCGATGGTTCCTTGTATCCGAAATAAAGCCGTCGTTCATGTGAGTTCATCCCGTTCACTGGCTGTGTCCACATGACGGCTTTAAACGTATTCTGCAACCAGACGCCAAACTTACATAACCTTCTATAATCCTTCATATTCTGCGGAGATTTTCATCAGATATCGCTTACGTTTTTGACATAAAACTTTCGAGGATTAAAATATAAACAAATGCATTCCCTTATGTTTCTAAAGGAAGAAAATAATCACTATCTTTATACACTTAACGTAGGGTAAATTATATATTAATTCAACAATAATACTATCAGAGAAATTACAATCTCATATCATAAAATAAAATACTCTAAAACTACTTTTACTGCGAGCACAGAGGGCACAGGGGTCGTGGGGGGTTGACAGATGATTATGAAGCAACGGTGGAATGGTGATTGGCACGGTAAAACCGGGTAAGTTGGAGAAAAATCTACTCCAGTGCTACTTCATCCATCCCGAATCTCACCTGAAGTCACCCGGAATGAACGCCCGTCCCCACAGTGAATAGCCATCATTAAGTCGCCTGAGCTATGACACGGCCTTGAAAGATTTTCTTTGAGTATTATTTCCGTACGCAAATTTCTGTGCCAACTATTTCAGTGCAAAGCCGCATTTAAATTTAAATATAAAATACGAATAATGAAATTATAGCATAGTTTGATTATTTTAGTGTCTGTTTGCAGAAATGAACATTCCTGAAAACAAAAGACAATGACATTAAAAACCAACGTTTTTAAGAAGTAAAATCCCCGGAAATGACAATTACATACCTTTCGCTCACGCTAATTTGTTGCGAGAATGATTCCACACTGAGACACTGTGAAAGAGTAAATTACATAATGGACAAGCGGAAATAGTTCTTTACGCAACAAGCAACTTGCCATCATGTCGGTGTGTCACGTTCAATCAGTACAGCCCTTACGACAGACAAGAAACAACTGAAGTACTACACCAGCATATGCATGTCGCTTCGTGCTACCACCGACAGCGACATATCGATTGTGATAAATCCGAGTATTAATAATGCATCTTATGTCGCCCATGACGTATTTGCAGACTCTGTATATGTCAATGAAAGCCAAAGGGTTTACAATTCAAAATGAAGGTCAAAGTATTTTATGGTGTGACGGTTATGATTTGATGGTGCGTCGTGGGTACTGCCAAGTTCACGCCATACACAAAATGTATCTAGTGCAACACCAAACACCACGGTTTTATGCCAATCTGTCAGAAAACGCTTTAACATTTCATATACATCGTGTCTAAATTGACCGTTTATTTTAAAAAGAGGGAGGAGTCAATGCTTCATAAAATTCAGTTTCTATGGATTCGCGTTCGATAAAGTTTCGGCTATAAAATTTATGGAAATGGAGTGAGCGGAGAATTTCAACTTTCGATTAAAGCTGGGCCACTGTTCATCGGTAAACCATGAAAACCCATGTGTTAGGACCTCTGACTTAAGAAACAGACGTCTGGAGTACAAAGTTTGAGCGACATTTATTTTCGTTTGATATCATATTCTTGTTTCATAGCTTGAATTTTCTCTGCCAGTTAAGTAACTTAACCTACTTGCATAGATCAATGTCCTGACAACCATCTACGAAGCGAATTCCACGCAAGTATGTCGTTATGCAGATTAGCACATCATTGAGGCACATTATATACCAAATGATCTCTGTAATAATTCCATCAACTCATCAACTGTTTCCGTGGTGTAGTGGTTATCACATCCGCCTAACACGCGGAAGGTCCCCGGTTCGATCCCGGGCGGAAACAATTTTTTTTAATACCATCAGTATAAATATAGTTGTTGAAAGTTTTATTTTCGTGATTTGGCAAATAAACAACAACTAATATCAGGCAAAACAACAACAACAAAAAAGATTGTTGCATCACACACAGAAGCGTAAATCATTTCATTTGTACTGGACTGAAGTGGTTCAGATCAGACTTATGACAGGTTTTAGTCTTTCTCTGATTTTAATTAGGTTCACGTAATGTGGGAGTTTGTAGTTTATATGATATAAACGAAGTACAGGAATATATACATGGGTGCGGCTTTCTATCTCCCCCCCCCCCCATAAACCACCTATATAATACTACTTCAGGTAAAACAACAAGTAGCGTATGTACCTAATTCTATTATGTAAGTAGTGATGAGGAGTCGTTAAATAAACCAAGAAACAAGAGTATAGTTAATGCCTCATTTGGAATTAAGTAGTGTTAAGTTTTATTAGGGCTGGAATAAGAACATACACAAGAACATATAGCACATGTCTGCAAACTGTGTCTTGCAGACTAAATATTAAAAGCAAATTACTATTGTCCGATATTTTAGACCTGGCCGCTGTTAAGCGCGTTAGGGGAAGTACATCGTTACATGTGATAAGGTAAACAACAGTAATGCATAATGCATATTCATAAATTCCACTGCGCTCTAGTGAACGCGGCCATGTCTAAAGGGATATCGGTTACAGTTCAGATAAAATGTGTTGCTTAACAGGAGGAGTTGTCCACAACAGCCCACTCGTCTTCAGGGATATCAAAGCTACTCATTACTGACTTTAGAGTAGTCAGAATTCCCTCGTCGAGGGTCTTGGATCGGCTCCAGATCTGATTTATGACAAACTTATTAAAAGTGTCTTCCTTCTCGTCATAGTGTTCCTTGCATCCGTGCACCAGAGCGTAGGTATTGTAGTCAGTAGCAATGATCGAGTGTTTCATGATATCTGTGGACATTACACGAGTATATGATATTAAGTCTGTTCCGATTTCGAAACCAGGATTAAAAACGATGATTCAAATATTGACGGAAAACCTTCATCTGCCATTCTCAAATATCTGTAACTTCGAATTATTTGAGTAACTTTAACGGAGACATGCTGAAATTAAATAAATTGGAATATCATTTGTATGATATAACGTGATAAGCTTCACAAAAGTGAATTTGTATCTGCAATAAATAAAAACCAAGAGAAATAACATATGCAAAATATAAATAATGTATTCCATTTCGGTAAGCTACATTCCTCGCACTTGTTTAAAATATGACAGAGACAAAATGAATATTGAAGATAACAATATTGTGACTGTACGTGTGCTCCAATGGTAGAACACGTAATTTTCATAGACCTCACTGTCCCTTATTTACATTACTGCAAATACAAATCCACTGTCACAAATCTTAACGAATAAACACATCAAGTTTTTTTATTCATCTTACATTTTTACGAATGAGATCCTGTGGCTCTTCCAATCCAAAATCTCTAAGATCCATTTTAACATTATCCTCCCATGTAAGCCCATGCTTTCCGAGTGGAATATTTCCTTCAGGGTTTCCAACCAAAATTTTATAGGCTATACGGTGTATACATTTCTCATGTGCTCCATGTGTGATATGTAACCCCCCTTGATTACATCATCCTAATAAATATTTGGTGAATATTTAAAATTATGGAGCCAGTCGTTAATTTAAAATAAAGTCGTAGTTCTTAATCAGATGTATGTTTTATGTTACGTAAACAATTTTTGTACTAGTAACCGTTTATAAGGAATGGGTGTCTCAAATTCGGCTTAATATATTTTAATATTTATATCAGGTTTCATGAATTACTGATGTAGACCAAAATTAAATTCTCCAGACAATGTTTAGTAAAGACCCTTGTGCCATATTTTATAGACATCCATTAAGTATTTTCCAAGATAAAAATTGTGGACGGACAGCAACTAAATCCTGCAAAAATACTTCATTATTTAAAAAAAAATACAGGTCCAGATCTGTGTATCACTTTATTATTTTAAAAAAATACAGGTCCAGATCTGTGTATTTCTCAGCTTTACTTGAGTTGTCTTCTAAAGACAGACGATGACTTACTGTAGACTGATCCCTCATGTAGAAAGTCTAACCATCGATCAGTTGAACAGGATTTAAATAATCTATATAATAAAGGGAATAAAGACTCTAAAGAGGGAGTAACTTTAAGAAGAAGTATATGTAATAAATGAATTAGCGAAGTTTCCTTCCAAAGACAAGACGACTTTGGACACTGTGTCCAAGATACTCACTGTGCCACTTGTCGTCTTTTGGAAATTTGAAAGCCATGGAAGTGGAGGACGCGAGACCTGGCTTAAGGGCCTGTCCCCTGGCTTCTATATGCTTTTCGACGCCGTCCGCCTTCTTCACAAGTATGTCGAAGTGGGTTTTGGTAACATTACCCACAGTCTCCGCCGTGAAGTGGATCTTGTCGCATTTAATTTCGTCGGAGAAAAGGTTAGGTCTGAACACGTTAGCTACGGAGTACCAGTCACCTGAGAACTACAAACACAGGGCACCATGTTAAACAACAGAAGACAGACTTGCGATCTTCACAAGCCACTTCTTTTCGCTTCAGAATTGAATTTTTAAAATCTTTTATCCCTGAGGAAGGAATCCTTGATACACAGTGGATAAAAGGTTGAGACTGCCCCAGAGCCCCTGAGGATATGACATCGAAGAGGAGTCTTGGCCACTGCTGAGTATAGAACCCAGGCTCACATGTTATACGTTAACATTTTAATCTGAAGGTTTACTAGCCTACTGAATTGTAAGTAAATGAAAAAGCAGGGCAGGTAAACCAAGATAAAACAATAAAAAAGAAACGAGCTCAAGAAAATTTGCTGTGAGGAAGTCCAGAATATTTTATGTAGGTTACAGAGGTTTTTGCACGTGCCGGGTCGTAGTTTCAGGTTTCAAGACAAAGTTAATTTTTCATGCTTCCAAATATATCTCACTTAAATACAGTCACAAGGTGGAGACTACTTTAAACTGTCACTTGACAAGATTCAATAATCCACTTCTGTGAACACAGCTTGGAATTTTGCAACTACATTGTTATAATTGTCGGCTCAGTGTGAACTACGTATTGAACTAATTAGGATTAAGGTTTTCACGGCGGTGATTCCGAAGACGACTATCTTCTGGTAGAAATTTACCAACGTTTCAGAGGTATTTGCTACCTTTATCATCAGGATAATCGCCTTGATGACGGAAGCACCACTACACGGCGCTGAAACCCAGAAGACAGCTAAGTTCTGAATTGTCTCACTCCATACTTTATTTATATTTGACTTACATCCGCTCTTCAGACAACGCGGATGATGTATAATACGACTAGCAAAAGACTTTCAAATGCCAATAACGGCGTTACCTTCTGTTCGTCGAAGGGATACTTCCCTAAGGACGGCAGACAGCGGGTGGTGTGGAAGTGACCGGACGCCAGTCCACACCAGAACAGCAAAGATACTACACACAGCAACTTGAACATCTTGAAGAGGGTTGTGACTTGTCGCCCGAGCAGCGACACCTTTTGTACTCAGCAGGTGGTAATTACACACAACACGTGACACCGCGGGGGGAAAGGTTGTTTCCTGAAGCCTGACCGCTCTAACAAAGGAATCATTATGAGACTAGAGATTTTTCTCTCCTGCCTTCAGGAACTAATGAGTTCAATTACTGATGAAGAATGCCTGGGATTCACTGATTGCGTGTCGGTTCCAAACAATGAAGTCATCATATAAAACACATGTTCATAGTGGCCTTAATACTAACCTAACCTCGCACATTACATTCGTCGACTTTCGTACGTCTGCACTTCAGGGACGAAATTCATGTTTTACTCCTGGGAAACAAATTATTTCATACATATAGACACGTTGAGTATATTCAGCTTGGACAGTGTTTGCTCGTACCATCTATTCATCCACGACAGTCTGATACTTGAAAATAAACATCAAAGTATACCGAATTATAATTTTGCATGCTGCTTTGTACGGGGGTGAAACTTGGTCACGCGCCTTGGGAATAGATTGAGGAAATCTCGAACAGAGTGAAAATTACACACCGAGGAAATTCATACTTTATAATCTGCACCGAACGTTGAGGTGGTCAAATCTAGAACGAGATCGGGGCATGTAGCAAGCATGGGTAAAACGAGAAATGCACACACAATTTTAACCGGAGAATTTGAAGGGAAGTGACTACTTCGGAGCCGTAGGTGCTTTTGGGGAATAATATTAAAATATGCCTCAAAGAAAGAGATTATGAAAATGTAGACTTGGATTAATCTGGCTTCGGATAAGCTCCACGGTAATGAACCTGTGAAGTGTAAGTGGCCCAAATGGCACGAAGGGCCTAAATGAACTGAAAGGCCCAAAGGGCTAAAATTGCCCTGAGGGCCTAAGTAGCCCCCAGGGGCGAAGTGGCCCAAACTGCCTAAATGTTCCAAAGGGCCTAAATTGCTGAAAGGTTTTAAATGGCCCAAAGAGCATAAGTGTCCCAAAGGACCGAAATGCCCATAAAGGACCAAAGGGCCTAATTGGCCAAAAGAGCTTAAATGGCGCTTTACCCCCGAGGAAAGAACTCTGGTACTGACTGGATAGGAGACTGGGTGATCCTCAAAGTCGGTCTGAATTTTGTGACAAAGAGGAGAATCCTAGCATTCAGAGAATCGAACATATGTCGTCCAGCCCGTAACTACGAGGGTCGCTCATTAAGTAATGCCCCACATTTTTTTTCTCAGCCAATAATGAAGATAGAAAAGTGTACTTTTACATGCTTGAGATTTGATGTTTCCCGCGTTCGTGTACGGAGTTTCAAATGATTCCAACCGATAGCGGAGCTGTAGTGAACTGTTAAAATGGCGTCTGTGAACGACTCTCGGTACAAGCAACGAGCTGTAATTGAATTCCTTGTTGCTGAAAAAGAAACGGTGGTGAACATTCATAAACGTTTGTGTGCTGTGTATGGAAGCTGTGCAGTCGATAGGAGCACCGTTGGTCGCGGGGCTAAGAGAGTTAAAGCTTCAGGAAGTGAAGAAACCGAGCTCCGTGATCTGCCGCGCTCTGGGCTGTTGAACCGCGCGGATGCCATTATTCGTGAGGATCGGCGCATCACAACTCGACAATTGGCCCAACAGCTTTCAGACAGCAATGGAATTGTGATTGCAATTATCCAGGCTCTCGCATATTCGAAGGTGTGCGCAAGATGGGTTCCACGAAGTCTCACAGCAGACCACAGGATTCAAAGGAAAACGATTTCTTCTGAATTGTTGGAGCGTTTTGATGCTGAGGGAGAGATCTTTCTGTCCCGGATCATTACAGGTGACGAAACCTGGATACACCACTTTGAGCCAGAGACAAAAAGGCAGTCAATGGAGTGGCATCATCCTCAATCACCGAGAAAGAAGAAATCCAAGACAACTCCCTCCGCCGGAAAAGTCATGATGACTGTCTTTTGGGACAGTGATGGGGTCATTCTTGTGGATGTGATGCCAAGAGGTGCGACCATCAATTCAGACGCGTACATCAGGACCCTGAAAACCCTCAAGAAGCGTTTTCGACGAGTTCGGCCTCACAAGCATCCAGCAGAAATTTTGCTCCTGCACGACAATGCACGCCCTCACACAAGTCTGAGAACCCGGGAAGAAATCACCAAATTTGGTTGAACGGTGCTGCCCCATCCACCCTCCGACTCCATCTCTTTGGGCCACTTAAAGATGCTATCCGCGGAACAAGATTTGAAGATGACAAGAGCGTGATTCAAGCAGTGATGACATGGCTACGTGCACAGGACAAGAGCTGGTACCGGCAAGGCATGCATGCACTTGTTCCACGCTCGCGTAAAACCGTACAAGTTGATGGGGACTATGTGGAAAAATAGTATGTGTAAAGGAAACATTGATTTATATTGTCACTAAATTTCAGCCATCTTGAATAAATATATTCTGAGGAAAAAAATATGGGGCATTACTTAATGAGCGACCCTCGTAGAATACTCATCTTCAAGCTTGAATAAAGATTACAGCCGAGCACTGACAAACAGTACAGGATAATATACTGTAATCTACAAATGCCTTAAAAATGAAGAAATAACATTGGGAAACAAACGAAACCTAACCCAGATGTACAATGTAAAACAAGTGTAATTAAATTAAATTTGATTTCTTAGGTGCTTGACAGCAGCTGAAGAGCTAATTACAGGCAAGCACTAAAATTAAAAACAAAATTAAACACGATAAGGTGACACAATAATAATAACAATAATAATATAAATAAAACTTATAATGACAGTGTTACGAGACCACGAAAAAATCTGATATTGTGGGATATGTAGAAAAGACTCAGAAAACTATTGATTATATTTTAAGATTAAAAATCTACATACATTCGTTCCTTATTGAACTACTGCACAAAACAATGTAATTTGTAATCAAGATAATCAGGTAATCTAGAGGAGACAATTAGATGTAAATCGATAGCATAGTATATGCCTTCATACAAACAGACGTGAGGCTGTTCTAGAAAACAAATGATACTGTAGTATCGACCTATAATCACTGACAAACTAATTACTGACACTGTACTGCACGAGAGAGGAAAAGTTGCAGGTATCGTGTTGAGACCCCGGTACGCCTGCGGAAGTACTTGGTAATGAAAAAAAAACGAAGAGACAGACGTGCCTCGACAGCCATTGCACGAAGAGTTCACGAAGGATAATATGTATAGGACTATATGCTGAAGGAATAAATAACAAGAAACTACACAGTATCAAAATACTGCAAATTTGTTAATCATATAATTCAGTGTAAAACACGGTTTAATGCTAAGTTAAATCTTATTTCTGGATGGTGACGCAGTAGGTTCTGTTGTCGATATATTGGAGAATCTTCTTGTTTCCACCTAAATCTGCATGGCACTATCACATAGTAACATGGCTCAGGACAGGGACCAGTGGCGGACTATTGTGAACACGGTAATGAACTTTGGGATATTCTTGAGTGACTGAGTGACTGTTGGCTTCTCAGGAAGGACTCAGCTCCATGGAGTAAGTAACGCTTATTAGATTAAGATAACATTTCTGACTTTCGTACTTTGTACATATTAACATATGCATAGCATGCCGTCATAAAATCATGAAAGCAAATAAATAAATAAATAAACAACGATGCAAAGATGATACATTTTATTGAATTAAGTACATACTGATCGTACTGGCTCTGTTACAATGTAACAATACACTCAGAGAAACTTTCTACGACATAGTTAAAAGGAAGAAATATGCACTGAAAAGAAGGAAAACGAATACTTCAGCATGAGTCGTTATTAACGTCTTCCCATTCGTTGTCAGCAATGTCTAGACTGCTCATCAGGGACTTGAGTGTCTTCAGAAGTCCCTCGTCGATGGACTTGGAACGACTCCAGATCTGGTCGAACACTGCCTTGCTGAACGTGTCTGTCTTGTTGTTATACAGCTCCTTGCAAGAGTGTACAAGGGCGTACGATTCGTAGTCTGTCCCGAGGATGGACTGTCCCACCACGCCTGCAACAAAACATGCGCGATTATCCCGATATCGGGAACAGAGATCAGTATTCGTTACAGTAATTTCAGGAAAATTGATCCGATGTATAATCACTGTTCTTTAGAGGTCTCGTGCTGAGATGTGATACCATGTGAATTGATGACTTGGTACTTACCTATCTCCATTTAACTAAATAACCGCTCTGATTAACTGAATGGCTTCTATCTTTCGTAAACCTCCGTAAAAAACTACTGAATACTTTACAACATCATAAACACGCAACTGCGGAGACTTGTCGATTTTCATAGTTACCTAACTAACAAAAAGCACAATGTAGTTGGATTTGAGGATCTCACGGCGAAGAGTATGAAAATTCCTGTGTTGTGGGTTGTAGCGCCGCGTAGTCTGGTAGAAGTTTACCAACGTCCCAGAGGTCCTTGCTGGCTCCATCATCAGGGCAATGGGCAATCGCCTAGACGTCGGTAAAATTCTACCAGACCACACGGCTCTACAACTCAGAAGACAGCCATCTTTCTAAAAAACGAAGACACTATCTGTTATCAGAATCCAGTTGCTTAGTGTCATAATTATGCCTATCATTACACTGAGACATTTCCAGTTCAAATTTTCATAACCAATTCTTCAAGTACGCACGTTAATACTATCCTTTCATAGAAGGCCGTTTCAGATTTTTTGTTTCAGACATTCCGGACAAATATGTAGTTCGATTTTGATTTATTTTAGGACGCTTTATCAGAGTTATCTATAACGTAATGCAGAATAACATGGCGACTGCGAGTGGCGGACGGTAAGTGATGTGGAAGGAAATTGCCGTGTTCTGCTTTTAGGAATTAAACCAGAACCTCTTTGGAGAAACTGAATTAAACAACGATAAACTTAAGTCAGTGCCCAGGCTGAGAGAAGTGCAGTGCACAGCAACTTCATGTTGTTGTGGTAAATATGCTAACCATGCCATTTGTCGTGTTCTGAGGATTTCCAAGCCATGACGGTGGTTGAGGCGAATTTTGGCATCACGGCCTGTCCTTTCCCCTCCCAAATCTTCTCAGAGCCGTCGTCCATCTTGAGACGCACTTCGATGTGAGTGTGTGTGAGGTTGCCTACCGTCTCGGCTGAATAGTGCAGTTTATCACATTTCACTTTTCCAGGTATTTTGAGTGGCCGGAAGGCTTTGGACACAACATACCAGTCGCCTGAAAACTGCAAATGTTTGGTAAGACATCTTACCGTCTACTTTTCATATACAATATAGACATATGTGTGTGTATGAAACAAACATTTAAAACACATAGTAATTCAGGTATCTGAGAACATAGTGCTAAGAAAATACATGTAAATAAATAAATAACTGAAAAGTCACTTCATGGTAGAGGAACACTCTTCAGCATTTGGCAGACCACAAACCTTCAGGGCGTACAGAAGAAGTCTTAAGATTCACAGGAATTAGGCTTAGACAGATAAGGGCATTACTGTACCTTCTGTTCGTCGAAGGGATACTTCCCGAAGATCGGCAGACAGCTGGAGGTGTGGAAGTGACCGGAAGCCAGTCCACACCAGAACAGCAAAGATACTACACACAGCAGCTTGAACATCTTGCAGAGGGTTGTGACTTTTTGCCCGAGCAGCGACACCTTTTGTACTCTCAGCAGGTGATAATTACAGGCTGCTCCTTGAAGCCTGACGACACGCAATATACGCGACAATATCCTAAAAGCATTACCCTGTCACCGGCACAATGAAACCACTTCTCACAGTTTCTTGCCCAGAGTCATATTTCGGAAAAACTTTCTGGTGAACAAAAGTCTTTATGTATACGGAAAGATAATAAACAAGCTTATCTGGCGTAAAAAATACTGATATCTTTTAAAATCTTTAGGCCGATACCACACATAGGACAAGTTTGACGAACTTTGTAGACGGATAGAGAAGGATAACACGAAGTTGCGAATTTACGGGATGAAAAATAACATGAAGTTTGATGCATTGAAAAGAGTATTTTGAGGCTGGTTCCAGAATTCAATTGAAAACTCAATTAAAATAAGAATTACGCGTTATGTAAATAATTTATAAAGACGTGAGCTAAAACTTCTGGTTTTCCAATAAATAACTAATTAACTCCTTAATGATGCTTCATAATCCAGTCATTAAAACTGTAAGTCAGTTGGTTTTGAATAACTATAATATAAACCAGGGATGTCCAAAAAAAAAGAGATTCCAACAGCGTCATCTTGTTCTACGAGTGCAGTCTGTTAAAGCGCTAGAATTGTCTATACTTTAGTGTGGACTGTCCTTCCGTCGTTGTTTGTCAGTATCGTTACAATAACCCAACTTAATTACATATACACGTACAGAACGCTTGTCAATGACCCTATTTTAAAGAACAGTTGAGATTAAAATAATTTTAAATTATAAACTGACAATTTTATGGATTCGTTGTTCTCTCAATTCATACTTTCAGGTTAAATTATGGACGGCAGGAAGGAACGCTGGGTAGGTGCTGAATCATAATGAGCAAATTATATAACTGGTTCTTCCCCAAACAAAAATAAATTACATTGAATTACGTGAAATGTTATTTATAGTCATTGAAGACTATCATAAAAAGAGTATAAGGTTGCGTAACACTATGGCAGGAAATAGGATGAGAATGAGTTGACTTGGCCAAGGCCCTTGTGTGATGCAGCACTTCTTAAGATAAACTACATTTCAATATGCAATGGATTCAAATTTATTCCATGCGCTTCGTATTTTGTAAAACGTGGTCCCTCAAGTTATCAGAGAATAAAGTGCTGTAGATAGTATCTTGGTTGTACTCCAGAGGATTATACAGCCTTGGTTGTTTCCCTCACTGCGAAATAAAACAGGCATTTGGCTTAATTTTCAATTACAAACTCTACGTGAGAATCTTTGCCTTTTTGGAGGGTTACAGACAACGGCTTGATGCTTCGCACAAGTGTTGTGCCGTTAGAAGTCTACAGCACTGAAATTTGTTATTGCCATTATTACTATGCATTTGTCCAGTGATAGTTTTTTCGGAAACAAATCGTATTGGTGATGAATGATATAGATAATAATAATCATCATAAATTGCGGTTTATTGCAACTGTGGAGATCATAACCTAATTTGATCGATAGTCTGCGATGGGGTAAACTGTTTAGCTTGGAGGCCAAGGTCAAAGGGGAAAGTTTTATTCCAGACATAAGAAATTCGCGTGTATACATACAGAACCCTCCATCACTAACTCAATTACTCACTCTTGTGTTATGAGACTCGTTTTCATTAACAAAGCACGGACAACCGTACACAAACAACAACAGAACAAAGTCTTGGGATTAAACCACAGAATAGAAGAAAATAACGGCCTGTTAATATTACTGATTTATTTCTGTTAATGACTTATAGAACTATAACATTTCCACTACGTATTCTTCCAGACGTAAACCAAAATTTCGTTCTGGTGCAATGCTTACAACTTTTAGCGCACAGAGAAATGCTTTGTACAAAATATACAGATAGAAACATTTATAATCTATATCTACGCGAAGTTTTACATACAATTTTTCGTCACCTATTACAGTGATTTGTTAATTAATTCTGCCAAAGTGGTGGTCGCCATGTTGTACTATTACATCGTGTGAAAGACTATAAAAAACCTGCCAAACAGTAGTATGACTCAGAAGTAGCGTACATGGTTTGCATTATGGAGATACTGGGTTAAAGTCTCTGTTGGGTCACTGACCATCTCAAATGGGGTGTTCGTGGTTTTCTTCAGTCCAACCAGAACATTCCAGAGGCGTCAACCACATTCTCTCCTCAACATTCCTATTCACTTTGTAAATCTTATCACGTTCAAATGAACACAACATCTGCAGATAACACAGCGCCTATATAATCATCCGATAGAAAGGGTTCAGACTCCATCAGGATTACGTCACTCCGGATTTGGTTTCCAGTTTACGTAAAGAATGTCATTACATTCCTGGGATTCAGAACGTTTGTCAAAAGGTGTATGCGAATTTAGTACCTAATAACGGACACATAACGTCTCGTACAATTACTTCTGTATCCTGGAGCTGTATTACGTCGCGTATAAGCGCTGAGAGCAGAACCAGTATGTACCAAGGTCACACACAAACTCTCTACACGATTCACTTGTACAATAATCAGAGTCGCAATTTCCCAGTTACATAACTCATTTGCTCTCCGACAGCGAACCATCGGAGACGCACAGCTACACAGTGTAACTGTAATAACTTCACGTAAGTAGAAAATATCATTACTGACATACAACACAGAGAGGTCGAAACGTGTGTTTGGTGTTATTTTTATCTACCCTACATTTATAGTTACAGATATCTCAAAGGGCAAGGCCCTGAACTTGAAACCCCCCCCCCCTCCCTCACCAAATCCCTCTTAACGCTGTTTTAAATGTGGTTTTCATGTCTCTTACAAGAGATTTACTTTGAGAAAAATGTCGCATTTTGAATGTGTTTCTGAACTACCAATATTATTAACTATTAGATTCCCATGGTAACGTAATTTTGGTTGTCTTCTCGGTTGTAACGCCGTGTAGCCTGGTAGAAGTTTACCAAAGTTTGGGAGGTACTTGCTGCCTCCATCATCAAGGCGATGATCCAACCCAGAAGATTACCAACTTCGTACTCACCACAGTGAGAGCCTAAGATCATATCAATGCAAATTTATCTAATAACAAATCTTGACTAAGATAAAAGATTTGGATTCTTTCAGTAGTAAACAAACAATTAAACTTAAATACAGTTACGTTCTGCTATGATGTCAACTTTAGCACCCATAAAGTCTGGAGTGGTCAGTAAGATACTGTTATTAACAAACTGTTGGGGTTCAATTAGAAGGTGAGTTTCGTTTACGTATGGCGTCTGTCTGCTGTCTAGATATGTGAAATGCATTGTTAGTCTGGCAAACACGAGAAGCATAGCAGCGGGAGGAGATTAAACAGCACATTAGATGTGTACTGTTACCGGTAATATACTGAATTTCGTTTGGATTTATTACAGGCTGTCACACTAAAAAGCCGATGTTTATTAAAATAATTCTATTTCATTTTATGCAGCAACGACAATGGAAAATAAAATTAAAACTTCGATGAAAGATTTACAAAAAAAAATTGTATATCGATAGGTATGCTTCTGTACTTGTGAACTGTTAAAACGATCACAGACTCGTGTTCAACGTTGTATTTAATTCTATATAATACAGAGAATAGCCACGTGGTATAGCGGTTAGAACGCTGGCCTTGTAATCCTGGGGTCTCGGGTTCGATTCCCGGCGGTGCCCGAATTTATAACTTGTGTTGGGCAAGGCCGTGGTCTAGGCAACACGGGGGCTTCCCCGGTTTCTCCGTGGCATCCCAACAATTACTCCATTCACACACAGAAGAAGGCAATGGCAAACCACTTCTGGATCATCTGCCAAGAACGTATATGAACAGGTCCCAGTCCGAGAAAAGGATGGAAGGATCCTGTTCATATGGACCTGTCGTCAGACAGAACACTAAATAAATAAAATACAGAGACTGGAGTGTGCGTTATTTCGAATAAAACTCCATCAAATACTATTAGTAAACATACCGATCAATCACAAATTAATTCACCTACGTTATCCCTAAATGGTACCTCCCATTTAAGTAAGGTTAGGTACAATTTAAAGACGTCATTGCAGTGCCACTGATAGTTCTTCTGACAACGATTGAGTATAATAGAAACCTTGAACGAGTTGATGTAACGCCAACTGTTTCTTTTGATTTAATCTGCAGTGATCTGTTAATTGTACACGTCATCACAATGGAACATGAACAAAACCTCTTTTGTATTGTGTTGACGGGGCGGGTCTCGCTAGCTTTTTGCATCTCTTTCTTTTATATTCATAGGGACAACCGACGTTCGAATGGACTGACACTTAATGATACTCTAGTAATACTGCTTACATTAAGGGCAACATTGGCGCCAGAGTTAGCGTGAGTTTGGTGCCGAAGTGAGGGATATTGAATTAACAAGCGATACGTGACAATGCAGAGGGCGTGTTGGTAAGTCATAAACAGAACAACGTAGCAAAATAAATATGAATGTGGCGTATTGATATTTTGATCAGATGTAGGGTACAATATGAGCAATAATTTTATGTTCGCTCGTTCTCCATTGGATATAAATTACTTTTTGTATGGAGCAGAAACCTCCTTGGAAACCTAGCGGTCGTCAGGATATTTATTGTGTTCAGTAGTGCTCGCCACCGGTCGTTATCCTGAGCCAGATGAATCCAGTCCACATCTTTCACTCGACTTCCTTACAATTCGTTTTAATATTGTCCTTCCATCTACACCAGTCTTTCAAGTTGTCTCTTAACTCTAGACTTACCAACCAAAACACTATGAATCTCATCTCTTCATGTTGCGTGCCACACGCATCACCAATCACATCCTCCCTGATTCTATCATCCTAAGGTACTGTCGTTATAACATTTGAACTATTCTCCTCATGAGTGAAATTTAAAGGTTTCTGATGAAGGTGCAGTGTAATCAGTAAAAGTGGTATTCTGACTTCGTCCATCGGCTATATTTCAATAAAATTACAACGCTTCTGAAGAAGGAAGAAAATCCAACTTCCGAAACATTGTAATTTTATTGAAATATATGCGATGGACGAAGTCCAGAATACCAGTTTCGTAAATTATTCTCTTCATGTCAGCATCCTGATATCAAACACTGTCAATCTGTGTTGTTCACTTAACCTGAAAGGTCAAGTTACACGCTCATAAAAACAACAGGTAACATGACATGTTTATGTATTTCAATTTTTACGATTTCAGATAAAAGACGAGAACAACATGTCGAGTGTAGTACGGCTGTTAGCTCTGCTGCTGATGTGTTATGGCTTGTATGAAGTGCAAAGTGCAAAGATATTGGCCCTGTTAAATTTGGCATTACCAAGCCACTACATTTTCAACAGGGCTCTTCTAATAGAACTTGCTGGGAGAGGACACCAGGTACATGTGAACTGAGGTGATCAAAGCCAAGAAGAAGCTTGTGTCAGAAAGTACATAAGCAGACTCCTTAAGAAAAATAATTTTAATGTTTTCAATATTCAATATCACTGATAAAGATAAAATCTAAACAATAAAAAATTTATTAAATGTGTGTTAAGATTCAATTCAAAACTAATATTATTCCGTCTGCTTTAAAAATGCAGGACATTATCATTAATACCAGAAAATTTCCCGTCAGTAATGAGGATAACACTTAATATAGTACATTTATCTAAAAAAGTATAAAAAAAATTCGAAGCCGCTATCTTAATGAGATGAAGTCCTCACGGCGGTCAAAGTGTCGATGTCGGCCTTCTAGTTTGTAACGCCCTGTAACTGTTAAAACGACTACTCTTATCCACAACATAAAACAGTACATCTAACTTCAGAAAATGCTTGTAATATCAGATAAAATTAGTTATGTATTCAGGGATATCGTATTCATAACACTAACGTTTAACTATGCTTAACTTTGCAGGTCACGGTAATTAGTCCGGACAGAGAGAAACTGCCAGTGCCTAACTTGCACTCCATCCAGCTGGAAGGAATCTACAACACAATAGAAAAAAATGTCAACTACGAATCCTTCGCAGAAATGTCTCTATGGGACTTCACATTTGCGATGTTCGACTGGGGAACAGATCTTTGTAAACGTGAACTGCAGACTGAAGGCGCACGAAAACTGCTAAATTACCCCTCAACTGAACGATTTGACCTAATCATTACCGAAATCGCTTGGGGAGAATGCTTCTTTGCATTTATACATAAATTTGGATCTCCACCTGTCATTGCAACCTCAGGAGTTGGAATACCTCCTTGGATTAGCCTCACGATGAGAAACCCGGAAAATCCTTCGTATATGCCGAATTTCATGCTGCCATTTTCAAGTCACATGACGTTCAGGGAAAGAATGTTAAATTTTATCATCCATAACTTTGTAACACTTATTTATGAATACAGGTACATACGTGCAGAAGAAGCAATAGCTAGGAAGTATTTTAAAGATTTTCCACCTTTCTGGGACATAGAAAGGAACTTCAGCATTGTCCTCGTCAACACCGTGCCTGGAGTAGATGATCCACGACCCCTCTTACCGAATGTGATTCCAGTTGGCGGGATGCATATCAAAGACGTCCCCAGTCCTCTGCCAAAAGTAAGTTCTTACGATTTATTACGATCTGTGGCCAGATTGACATTGGCAGTTTTCTATCAGATTCAGATTCAAAGCAAACTATCCAAGGATTTTAACATTTCACTCCTTCAGAGTCACTGTACTGCTCATGTTGAAGTCGTTTGTGTTTGTCTGGGTAGTGACGCTGTGACGCCCGAAGATAGAAGCGACACATTCCTCATAAACCTTAGTAACCACCTACAGGACTAC